AAGAAGTGGGAGACAAATGAAAGGAAGTGGGAGACAAGCCAGCCGGGCCACCCGACCACAAGCACCCACCTTCGGAGACAAATGAAAAGAACTGGGAGACAAATGAAAGGAAGTGGGAGACAAGCCTGCCGGGAACCCGACCAGACCATTAGCACCAAGGCGACCATTCTTTAAAGCATTGAGAACCCCTAACAGTAAACTGTTTGGGGAAATAGTACTTATATAATTACATAAAATACGTAAATTTTATGTTAAGTGTTGGTCCAGAATCTCATGTCTTTTGTTCTATGGGCAATGTTCATGATATAAGATACTACCCACCCTACCCCATCCATTGAAATACCCCCTGTCCTTCACCGCACGCTGCAGCTCTCCCGCCACCGAGCGCACCACCTCCGCCTTCTCCGGCGCCAGCAACGCGCGCCGGTGGTGCCGAAGCCGCGAGTCCAGCTGCAGTGCCTCGAAGAGCACCGCCAACGGATCCGCGCGTGTGGCCTCATAGGCCTCAGCCACTGGCACCCTGGAACTGGATCATCCCAATGAGAGAGCGGACCTTCATTTTGGGGAGCCTCTTTTGGTGGCACCACTGGGGTAGGTCGGACATATAGGGCTAAAAAAACCTCGGCCTTGGAGAGGGCTGTTCCACCTCTCTAGGATCTCCATCGCCAGCCCGACCATCTCCTCCCCGCGCGGCCAACTCCCGACCGAGGCACAAGGGCTTCTGCCCAGCTGCTGGGGCCGTTCGGCCTCAAGCGGGCCTCCAGTAGTCGACGCAAGGCCTCCTCGCCCATGGCGCTCAAGCTCTTGGTGGAGCCGTTCAGGACGGCGGTGACGTTCAAAGACCAGAAGAGTTGGCCATGGTCCTGACACGTTCCCTTTTTGGAGGGGGTCCCCCCAAGCCGAACGAGGGCGTTGATCAAATTTCGAGAGGTGCCGAGTTTCGGGCCTATTGAAATGAGCATAGAAAGGCATCGCATGAGTCTCGAAGCTGACCTTGACACAAAACCTGTGAGCCTGTGGCATGCAGGGGGGTAAGTAAGGTTTGTGTCTTGTGTTTGCTTGTTTTCTTTTACACCCTGGCCCCGAGACCCCCATGGGAACCCGAAAAGGTATGCATCTTCGGAACATCGTCTTCCAGTCTGGTCAATGTTCAGGTTCCACGTGGATCTCTTCCCGGGTGCATATTGTTTTGCGTTTGCGTTTGGTAGTAGTTTGATTGCTCAATTTGTTTGGTAAGAGTCGGGGGTACACTGATTAATCAACCAAAAAATAAGGCCGGCAGGGGGGCGGGGAAGACTGGAGCGGAGCGTGAGCTGCAGTGACCGGGGACGTTCTGGAGAAGGCACTTGCTAACAGTCACCGTCCCAGTGTCCTCTGCCACGTCCACCAAATCTCGTAGCTGCCGAAAAAGCTCGCCACCACGCATGGCGCGTCCGCCGCAAGTTTCAGTGTCAAAGGTGCGGGAACCCCTGTGGCCTTGCCTCCCCTCTCCGGCATGAACACGCCGCCGCCAACCAGTACATGGAACATGTCATAACCTGGTGGACTGCAATTGGCAATGCTGGCAAGGGCTAAAACGGCTTGGCCAAAATGACACCACCCACGCTCCTTTGTTTCTCATTGTTTGTCCATAGGGTCAGAGTGGCTGCGGCATCCAACATTGGAAGATCAGGTGCTCCACGTCCCAAGGACTCTGGATTGTTCCCCCTCTCAACACACCAGGGCCAAGTACCCCGTTTATCCATCTTGACACGGAAAATGACCTCAACTTTCCCTCATGGAGGCTGTTGATTGACACCCACATTTGGACTGCACGGTCTCTTCTAATGGAGTTGAATATTCTTTAATGCTCAAGGTCTACATATTACATGATCGTCCACGGTGCCCATGCACCAAGCCCTCCACGTCCGCAGCTAGAGTCCCACGGATGTCGACCACATCAGTTGCTACGCACGCAACGTGCAACTCACTCCTCTGCCGTTTTCGAAAGCGATCCCTCCACATTGGCGCGGGCGAACCGGGTCGTGGAAGATGCCCCTTGGCTTGGACCGAGTGAGTGGTTCCTTTGAGCAATCTTTGCTGATTTCAGCGATCGTCGCTCGGTACAAGCCGCGGATTCTGCCAAGCCGCGTCGCGTCGCTGCTTTACGGTGAGACCCAGGCGGGGCCAAACCGGGAGTCCGCGACGTGTGTGGAGCTACAATAGTTCAAGTGGGTCACCCATGCGGAAACAAGATTACCTCACTTCAAGTGATCCCCACCATGACATTTCAATCTGACAAATTGTTCGGCATGTATTGAAACAAGACTTCGGCACTCTTTCTGGCATATCTTCTGACATTCTTTCTGGCAATTTATGGCATATCTTTTAACATTCTTTCGGCCATATCTTCTGCCATTCTTTCAGACATTCTTTCTGGCATATCTTCAGGCATGCCTTCTGACATTTTATCTGGCACTATATCTGGCATATCTTCTGCCTTGCTTTTTTTTATGACATTCTGTCTGATATTCTTTCTGGCGTTCTATCTGGCATGTCTTCTGGCTCGCGGTTGGGGGTCCGGCGGGGAACACCGCCCGCCGGAGCTGCAGGTTGAGGTCCGGCGGGGAACACTGCCCGCCGGAGCTGCAGGTTGAGGAGGACAACGAGAAGAGAGGACAGGCAAGGAGGAGAGAGGAGAACAGCGAGTCAGCTAACATAAACTCTAACAACCCTCACCTGACAGGTGGGGAAAAACACACACAAATTGTTGTTTCGATCCCCGTTCCAAAGGCACTCAGGTACCCCAGGTAGCTACCCCCCTTTTGAGTCTAAGCACCCACTGGGGGATTCGCCGGCTTGGCCACGCCAAGTGCCAGGTCCGACATGGGCGGACGAAGCTGGACTGTCCACCCTATGAGGCAATGAGGCAATGGGAGCCACAGGTTGGCCATAGTGAGCATTGAGGGAGGGTCACTGACCGGGTATTATTCAATTGGCTTCAGTGGTTCTTCATGGTTGTTCCAATTGTTGCATCGTTGTTGCCATGGAATCTTGGAGGGCCACCCTCGTTTCAGCGCCCCGGACATTTGGGTATCTGTCTATAAACTGGTTTTCTTGATTCCTAATATTCCTTTCTTCATAGAGATTCTCAAGGGGGCACTTTAAACAAGGGTCTAGAAGGTTCGAACGGCAAAGACGCTGAACGCACTGAACGCACGCCGACGCACTCCTTCAAACCTCCCGGTGACCAACGTTCAGCATCTGACTTCAGTGTCTAACCAGCCCAACGAACGGGTCTCACCCGGGACCTAATCAGTACATGAACCGAGTCCTTTCACATGCACCCGGATCGGTTTGGGCACCCGGATCGGTTTGGACGGCTTTTCCTTTACCAACCGTTTGTCAGAGGTCCAGGGGTCAGGTCTTGGCACCGCTTGGCACCGGCGCTTCTAAATAAAGGGACCTAAGCCGCGGCTCCCACGGCGAAGCTTGACACGAGGTGAAGAGCGCCCTGAGGAAACGGTTCTGTTTGGTACAGGGGAGTTGGCCTTCCATCTTTGGGGATGATGTTCCTCTGTGTGTGTGTGTGTGTGACGCATGACCAGTACAGCTGGCTAGAGATTTGACCCACACCCCCTTGCAGTAGAAGTGAAGGAAAGCTCTCTGAATCTGGGTGAACTCTCTGAATCTGGGTGCTTCGACCATCAATCCATCTGTCCGCCGAAGGACTTTGGCCTTCGAAAACTACGGACCGTCGGAAACTCGGGCTGAAATCATCGGGTTCCCCATCCATGTCTGCGGGATGTGGCACTTTGGCCTCTCAAATCGTAGCACGGACTGGTGTGCCCTCACGGACAACTGCCATAGGAATCCCATGAAACTTTGAACAACTGACATTGTTTACCAAGACCCACTGGTTTAGTCTTTGGACACCGTCTTGCAAACCAGTGTGAATATGCGTGTGTGTGTGTGCACTTAAAATATACCTATTAATACTATATTTGTACTATGTACTATGTCATACCATATAGATATAGATACATACAGTTTCAAAAAAATCGAATTCCCGAGGTGTAGCTTGAACAAGCATGTTTTAAGCAGCAAACCAAGGCCCCCGTGGCATGGCCCATGTTGGGTCGTTCTCAGGAGCTGTGAGGGGCGTTTCTGCCGCATGGTTTGGTCGTTCGCGATTGACCGTTTGGCTGGACCAGTGACGAATAGCCCTGCGGCGGCCCAACGGCATTCATTTGAGAGCCACCCCAAATCCCAGCGAGTTGAATTCCTCTGCGGTCGACTTGTGATGTTCCGGGTCAATTTGGGGTGTGTGGCACTGCTTGAGGAGGAGGATCTAGCACATACCATGAACCCTGACCCCTTGTTGGTGGAAGTGGTTCTTCATCAGGAACCTGTGGCAGTTAAGGCTGTCATGGCTTCACAAACATTGCGCACCAATCCGCATGAAGCAACAACCATCCCACAACGGCGGGGCAATCATGTCCAGTCTGCGGGTCCAAATCCGAGGCCGACTCGCCAAAAAGAACAGAAATGCTGTCTCTATGGCCACTGGGCTCCGGCATCTGGTTTTGGCCCACGCCCATCATACACTGGCTCAGTCTCCCGGTGGGTGTGGCTCGGTGAACCATGCAAACACAAAACTACTCCCCAGAACCAAGAAAGAAATGACAACTGCACCCAAACCCCATGTCAGTGCTGTGGCTTTGAAAGCCTTCCCAAAAAGAAAAACAACACTTTGGAGTTGATCTTCCCAAGTCCTTGAGCCATACCCACCTCTTGAAAACGTCACCGACGCCTCGCCACACCCGGCCGTCGCTCCGCGAGTTGATCGAGTCCTACGCGCCGGTGGGAGCCTCAGCCGTCTGAGTCTTCTTGGTAATGCGGAGGAAGTGCTTCTGGCGATTCGCGCGCTGGCGCGGTGCGATGAAGGAGGGGGGCCGAACCGAAGCCGGTGGACGGCGTTTTGTCGTGTGAAGGCTTAAGGGAGCACTGATAAATGCAAGAGAAAACCACCGAAGTGACTCATATTTTGGATATCATCTTCATCTATTTGGGGACTTGGGGGCCACTGTGTGCAAGACTCTCCTCCAACTCTATAGTTTGCAAAGTTGTAATCATTGTTGTATGATTCTTTTAAAAACGTAGTATTTGTCAGGGCGGAAGGCTTCAAACCGGAAGCTACTCCGCTCCGGCGCAGGAAGGCGCCGGGTCACGCGTGGCGCATGGCCTCCATGATCTTCTCCGCGGTCTCTTTCTCCTGGGAGCTCTTCGTTCGGTGCTTCGAACCGGCCCGCCCACGCCGAGGACGGCGGTCGACTGGGACCCAGAAGCTACGTGGGGTTCCAGCCAGCGACTCGGCGCAGGAAAAAGATGGAAAAAGCCCCCTTGTGGTCCCACCCCCAAACTAACCAGAATGCAAGATGACTCAGAAAATGCATGGCAAAAATGCCACAGCTGGAGGTCTGGGTTGAAATCACCATAATTTATGCCATTATGCAATTGCAGCTGAAGTCACAGTTTGCAACCTCAAGTGGGTGTTTGCTCATGTCCCATGCCACATGTCTTCACGATTGCGCAGAACGCACATCTTCCATCCAGCGCATGTCTTCCATATCTTCCGGTTCTCTGAGCTGGCCATATTAAGCTGCTCCTTTTGAGAAGTGCGAAGGGCTTCGAGACCGCCAGTTGGGCACCGCCGTGGAACCCGGGCGAATTCGGGGGGGGGCCGACCGGCCGACGAGACCGGCACCGGAACGTCGAGAGTGGCACGGGACGGTTGATGGAACGTCTGTTACGGTGGTGGTCTGTTGTCGGTTGTTCGTGTCAAGCTCATCGAGTGTTATCAAGTGTTATGTTTGGTGCTGTGGTTGCATGCTGTCAAGTGAGTGCTATGTGTGTGTTGTTGATCTTTATCTTGGTGCGTTGTCAAGTGTTATGTTTGGTGTGTTCATTATATATGTTATATATGTTGTATCAATCTATCTGTGCCGTCTATATCACTATTTTGTGGTCTGCTTGCTGTCCTGTTGGTCAATGGACTGGCCGGGCTGTGGGTGACGCCCTGCCGTCGTCGCCACGGAACCCTATTAGGGTGGGTTCTCTACTCTGCCACCGAGCTACTTACGCCGAGTGCGAAACCAAGCATGGTGCCTGCCTGACACAATACCAAGAGCCGGAAGGAACGCCATGACCTCGACACCACGAAGACACCGAAGACACGAAGACTGGGCGCATGCCACGAAGCAAGGAATCCGCTGGCGATGAGTGAAGTGAAAGGAAATGATATTATATATATATATGCGTTCACACACACACATACTGTGTATACTACTGTATATATAATACACATACTGTATATACATACGGTTCACACAGAGATGTATATATATATATGGTACACATATGTACGCATATATATATATATATACATCTCTATATAGTAGACTTGTTAGGCGGCCCTCTGGAGCCATTGGTGTCTTGAAAAATGTGGTGTTGCGACCCTCAAACAACCGCACCTTTCCCACCGGCATGCCGCAGCAAAACACGACGCGGGGGATCCCTCCTTGACTGCGGCGGAGAGCGCCTCTTGCGCCTTGAGGAGTTGATTCTTGAGCTCCTGGAGGAGGTGGGTCCAGTTCCAGTTGACCAAAAAGGATTAATCCTCAAGATGGAATGATACCCCGCCGCAAATGAACGTGGAACCTGAGAATTGACCGGTGGAATACCATTTTCCTCTGCAATCTAGTGGTTTTCGGGTTCTATGTGCATTTGCAGGCGAGGTATCGGTGCTGAGGACCAAGACCTGGAGGGTCCTCCAGACCGCAGAACCGAGGAAAGGGCAACTCCTTTCCTGCACATCATGCGTCGCCCGTCCTCCATCTCCGCGAGGATCTTCTTCTCCTTCTTCCTGACGGACTCATCATGAAACAGCAGGGGCCGGACCCACTGGACCCGGTTCATTCGGACCAGGGAGTCAGGTGTCTGCTCTTCGTGAGACCCGAAGAGAGCTGCATGCAGCTTGCCAAAGGGCCTGTACTCCGGGGCCGCCAAGGTTCATAGGTAAAGGTGTTCTTGCAGCTTTTCCAGTTGTTAAGGAAGAAATGCTAGCTGCTAGCGGTGTCTCAGCTGCAGAAGCTTATCACTGGGGCTGGAAAAACATCTTCCAAGCCAGGATTTCCTGTTGGTGAGGAAATGAAGAATCATGGGTGCACCTAATTACTGTTCTGGACCACCAACCATCCCGAAAAGATTTTATTATCTCACTGCTCAAAGTGTTCGAGCATGTTCTGTGGCAAGCTAGGTTCAAAACAATGCCCTTTCTGGCGAGATGGCTGAACAGTGCCGTGTGAAAAAATCGGCTGCTACAACCTGCCGAACTCGTGCACCTCGCACCCTCTACGATCTCAGCTCCTAGCGGCAGAATGCCCACGGAAGATCATCCATCAGATGAGGACTCCTTTTTCCACGCCCTGCATCCCAGGCGCTGATGAAACTGGGGGTCATTGCACGCGGCCATGATGCTCCGCCCAAAATCTGGCAGATCCTCATCCTCTACCTGACGCGTGCTCGTCTGACCGGTGCGCCACCGACTGACCGACTGACCTGGCATCCTGAAGACAAACATGGCACAATTGTCGGGGAGGGTCGGCTCTGGATGTTGGACCTTGCTCCTGGACCTTCCTAAAGGACTCTAAAGGGCAGAACCCGCTCCATTTCTCGCTGTGCTGCAAAAGGCTCCGAGAATTCGGGCGGTTGAGAGCTGATACATATGACGCATTGCGTCATATTCGATGCATTTTTGCACCCATATGTGAGCTGTACAATTCCTAAGAGTGACGCACCAAACATGTGTCACGAACTGCACTGCGAGGCTGACTTCGAGCGCCCAAGGACTCAAGGACCCCGCCCGGCAATTACAAATTGACTGGAATGCATGTGTTGATGTGTTTGCAATTATAGCTGCGGCCTGCACAAAAAGGACGACATTCTCTAGGGTCACGCGGTATCTTCACCTTTCACATAATATAGCTACTCTCGTACCAAAAGGGGTCCAAGATGTTCCTAGGGTCGCCCATCGCGGCGCTGGTCGCCGCTCAGCGTCGCTCAACTCTGGGTCGGACCTACCTGGAAGGTCAAGCTGTGGACCTCGCCTCCAGGCCTTGACCCATCCCCAGATCACTGTCCTTTCGTCTGAAACGGCAGGGTCCCTTCCAGTGGGCCGGGGGCTTAGGGATTCAACCCGCAGCTCGCCAGCAAGTCCTTGGCCGACCATTTCTGCATCAGCGCAGAAGGGCTGGTGGCAGAAGGGCTGGTGCCCTGTAAGAGGTGGATCACCGCCGTCCTGCTTCTGGGATCTTTTGCTTGCTGCGCTGCTTCCAAGGGAGTTCGACCTCGGGATCAAAAGGAATAAACATAGCGCTATATATATATATATATAACAAAATATGTTTTAATACTTTAATATTGAAAACAATAGACTTATGAAAAACTTGAAGATATGAAAAACTTGAAGAAGCCCGTCAAATCTGATTCCGCCACGCCTTTGGAGGTGTCCTTCTCTTTGTCTGCACCCTGGCGCAGCAACAGTTTCACCACCTGCGCATTGCCCAAGCTGGCAGCTACATGGATCGGGTAAACCTCTTCGCGCTCAGCACAGAGAGCAAGGACATCAAACCAAGGAGGCCCCTGTGGCGAGTTCACACCCTCAAATCCTCAGCGAGCTAGCAGAATTCAGGACTATAGGACTCCCACGAGTTCACGTGCACAGCGGATTGGATGGAGCCTGCCGAAAGGTGTTGTTTTTTGGGGAGGGGGGATTGGATTTGGTTGGACCAAGAACTCGCCAGGACCAGATCATGTCTGAATTGAACCCAGGGCTCTGTGATCGGAGAGGAATCTCTGCAATTCCACTTGCTCTGCGAGCTTCCGTTCGAGTCTCTTCGATGCCCCTCGCGTTGGGATGGGGTCATCATCAAGCTCCTATAGGGCTGTTGTTCAGAAAGACACCCAGCTTGACGAAATGTAGCATGATACAAAATATGTGCGTGTTCAAACGCACCATGTCTTGTTTAAAGCCGATCCCCGCCCAGCGGTCCTCACGGAGAATCCAGCAAGTTGGGACATCCGTAAACAGAGGTTCCTCCTCCACGTGGAGCTGCACGTGGGGTTGAAGGGCGCCGACGTTTTCCAGCCCTTGCCCCACGGCCGTGGACGGCCACATCATGATGCCGGAATATCGGCCGAATTGAGCCCAAATAGGCCCTGCGGATCGCCCCAACACACACAGCTAAGCGGGCCCCCCCGGGTCTGAAGCAATGATGCTTCTGCATACGATCTTTCAGCTTCTGCGTTCATGTCTTGATCCCTTGATTTGAAACATAGGCTTTCATGGACTCATGTTGCTTCGATCTTGCTACTCAGCGTCTGACCAAGGGGGTGCCCCTTGGCCGCTCCCTATCACACAGTCACAGTCACTGTTACCAACCACTGCCACTGCTCGAGAACCCCCTGCACCCCAGGAAAAAGAGCTGTCGCCATGCGCCTGCTCGCCGTCTTTGGTCACATAGAAGGTGAGGTGCAAGGCGCCTGACCCAACGAGCGGTTCACGAGCACTGCGCAGTCCAACAGGGCTCACGCGTTGACCGATCAGGAAGGAGCGCGACCGTTGTGGGATCTGGGTGAAGCAGGTGAAGCACCCCCTTTGTGGCTGCCATTCAGCCTCAAACCACCGAGGTCCTCAAGAATGCCAACAGTATATAAAACGTTCCATGGCATTCACAAGTCACAACACCCTTTCAACGACCAACTGAGATCTGCATAAAACAGTCATAGACCATCTGCAGTGCATTCATTCGAAAGATTTGCTGCCATTTCTCCATAGGTCCGTAGAGCACGAGTCCCTCTTGGAGGTCTCTGTTTTCAGATGTTGGACCTACGACAGTTCACTCAGCTCAGCTCAGCGAGATTCAGTCATAAAGGAACGAGTTGGCCCTTCGCACCGCACTGGGGAAAACCCCTGAAAAAGGCTACGGGACATGAACTCCAGGAGGGGCTGGCCGCCAGCCCCTTCCGGAACTCGGACTTTTCGTCGGCCTCCCTGGCCCAAAGACTTGTCAACCCAGCCCCACCACCTCAGTCACCGGTCGCCTGTCGACTCCTCGTCCCTGTGCCCCGTCATATCCCTCGCAGCGGAGAGAGGACGCACCAGCGGGTTCGGTCGACGTCGAGGACATCGGGTGGACGCGGAGGCAGGTCTTCTAGTTTGTGATGGAGGTGAGCTATCATGCAGGCCTTTCTGATCCTTTCTTCGGTTTTCGGGAACATGGACGAATCGACAGTGGGAATTGGTGCGTGGTGTGCTCCTCCGCGTGAAATCGTGGACGTGGTACACCGTAACTCTTGCTTTGTGGCAACCTTACAGCCTGGGCCAGTAACAAATATGTTTATATGGTACACTGTCTTGATTTAGTCTTACTCTCAGGATAAGCATGCTACGCAGAGGCCTCCCAAGTTCATCCATCATCATCCATTCAGGGGCAGGAGCAGGCCAACCGGCCGTTGCGGCCAGCCCGCAACGGCCATCAGCGGCCATCACAAGGTCCTCCAAGCCCCAGCAGTCCCACGAAACGCATAGGAGTGGCTGGAAAACGGGACGCATGCCAAAATCCAGTATCGATCACCGATTTCTTCCATTTTTGCCACACTGACTCACTGACCCTCTCTGCCTTCGGACAACATCGACGCCCAGTCCTATCCACCCCAGCCCAGCAAACCACCACGAGACACACAGCACCGCCACGCCGCGAAGGAAGCGCCGTGTTGTTCTCGGGCCGAGCGGCCGGATCATCACCCCGGCGGAGGCCAGCGCATTCGTCACCGATGCCACGATGCCTGGGGAGATGGAGAAGAGGGGACGACGGTTCTTCGGGCGGAAGCGCAGACTTGGGAGGAAGCGCAACATCGTCATGTTAAAAGAGATCTGAAGCAGGGCAAAATGGGATGCTTAGAAATTTGGGTGATCCTAGGTGGGCTAAAACGGAGTCTCCTTGAAGCATTGCTAGGCTGTTTCGAGCGAACCTGCAATTTTGCATGCAATTACTCAATCATGGTTTGGTGGCCTTGCTGGTTGCAAGACTTTGAACTCCGACTGTCAAACATGAGGGTGTTCCATTTCGGATCATGTCCGGTGTTTATTGGAGGGGGCAACCATTGCTGAAACCCCAGGATCGGAGAATAGTACATGACCTGACCTGGCACAGGTCAACCCCCTATCACCACGCTCCCCAACTAGCTCATGGAACTGATCACCTCACGTCGTCAACGGGTGACAATGTGTATGTGCAGCAAAAACCAGCTGTGCCCTCCCTTTACAATCAGTGCAGCCTACTGCAGTAGTTGAGTCACCACAGGTTGTCAAGAAATATGGTATTTCTGTGTTTATATATATATATATGTATGTACTTACACAGTATGTTATATATATATATACAGTATGCGTGTATATAACAGCTTTTATGTCGAAAATATACTGCAAGATATGGACCCCACCTCCGTGCCACCTGTGACACCTGAAAGCCTCTGACACCTCTGGTGTACCGGAGTTCCAACGGTGACCTCCGTCTTCTTCTCAGCACCACCGGCCACATCCTGCGCCTGGCACATCCTGCGGGCCCTCGACGGTAATGGCCGTGAAGTGCTCGTGGGTCTTCTGGGAAGCCGCGACCACTGAAGGTTGGGACGGAGACTCCCCGTCGTTCCGTCGAAACCGACGACGGCTTTGTAGCGTCGTTCGTGGGTCTTTGTTGGTCTACCGTCTGCCGATGTTCACTCGAAGGCTCCGAGACTCGACCCCGGACGACCAAGCTCATTGGCTTGCGGATCTTCAGTGATCTTCGGTTCGAACTCGAATGCACCAGTCAAAGGGACTCAAAACTCATCGGTTGGACATCTTCCCAGCGGGCAGCCAGGTGAATCAAAGGTGAAGTGGCATTTGCCAGCTTCTATCACTGTGAGTCATTTGCCGGCTTCTATGCATGTCTCATCATGTCTCCTGAAAACTTCAAACGCAGTGGAGATGAAAAAGTGTCAGATATTTGATGTTCCGACCCTTTTGTGAGGCACGAAGGATCCACACCTCACAGGACCTTGACATGCGTGGTATTGTATATGTACACCCTCAAACTCACAGCCCTGGAAAGTGCTCAAATTCTCTGCCTTTGGATGTCTTGGCGGTTTGTGCCAAGAGCATCCAAGAGCAAAGGCTTGAATTTGGGTGTCCTAAATTCTATTCGATACGAGCTCTTTCAGAGTCATTGGCATGTGCCCATGGATGAAGATCAGAGTGAGCAAGCTGGATTGCTGCGACCAGGGGAAGTCTCCGGGGCACCGGGCGTTGCTCATGGCAATGCTGAACCTTGGAATGGAAAGGGAGGGGAATGACTGGGTCCCTCGCCAGGCCGCTCCGAAAGAGCACCTATGCTGCCCATAGATTCACACCATCTTAGAATCTTGTACTCCAAGCTCTCTGCAAAAGTGTCCCCTTGCAATCTGGCAATGCTACCGCTGTATAAACCATGAACTCTATGCTGCCCACTAGGCAACCCCAAGAGAGGCATGCGTTCTTCCAGAAATGAACTTCAGTTGCCGGGTGAAGGTCTTTAGGGAGTCTCGGCACCGAAACACACTACGGATCATCTTGCAGAATCCTTTCGGATGAAGCCACTGGCAGCTTTAGTTGGGCTTCTCCGCTTCTCTCATTGCTGCGATCGGGTTCCCAGAGCGGGATCAAGCGCCTTACATGGCCGTCTCGAGGGTCAGGACCTGATCTACCCACCATTGGGCCCCTTGCTTTTGATGACCCCAGAACGGGTTAGAATGGGATTGGCCCAGCTACCACAAGGTGCTCCACATGTCAACCTCGCTCCCCAAAACGCTGCGAGCACAAGCTGGGCTGCCGCGCCCACTGGCCTCCGTCTCGGCCGCCAGCTTGAGCTCTCGCGTGCGGTCGGTGTCCTCAGCCGAGAGGCTGAGCTGAGCCACGCGGCCACGCGACGGGGAAACCGGTGAAAATCCTATACAAATCGAAGGTGGAACATGGGCCGGCAGCTCTAGTTGCAATCTACATAGATCCCTTCGTGAGATTATATAGATGAGGCACGAGGAGGCTCTGATGATGTTTATATAGAAGGGGTTTCCCTTCTGAATACTTCCCCTCGAAACGGCTGTTGGGATGGCCAACGGCCCGGATACACACTGCATATTGAACGCACTTACTGCCCTCTGAACACCGACGTCTCCCCGACGGGTGGACTTCGGCCCACTTGAGGCCACTCTTCGCTCCAGAGTCGACCACTCCGCGCCCCAGACGGCGCCCTCCGACGGCACCTTCCACCCTTCTGGGCCCCAACCGCCAGATGACCGTCCCCAACCCGATCCTTCCCCCACCCATCCTAACCCCCTACCCGCCCCGTCCCTAGACTCCGGTCGCTTCAGTCGCGAGGATGGGGGCTCCCAACGATGATGAAGAGGTTGAGGAGCCCCAAGGAACATCCCGTGAACCTCGGAGGACCGGTCGCAGTCGCGCCCGGTCCGGGACCGGTGGGGACCGGTCCAGAGCCCCGAAAGAGAAGACGGACGGCGGGAGGTCCGGTCGCAAGCTCGAAGAAAGGTGGCTGAAAGAAGAAGAAGTAGTACAGTAGTAGTGGTAGTAGTGGTAGTAGTGGTAGTAGTAGTACCTCTCTCTACGTTTTGTGATCATCCCCTTTCCAACGCCTGACCACGGCTCCGGCCGGTTGCCCTCACACGGTCTTGACACGTCTCAAGCCTGGGAAGCGCCTCGCTGACTTTCCCCGCACACGGCGGAAAACACATGCACGTCGGACGGAGAGGCCCGTCCACGACGCAGCGACCGTATCGGAGAGGTCGCGCGCGAGGCCAGCAAGGCAAAATTGGCGTTTTGGGGCCGTGGATGCTGTGGATGCTGTGGATCACCATATCCCTCAGCATGTTCGATCTGCACCCACCAAAAAATACCACCACGCCCAACTTTCGCAACTTCCAAAAGTTGCAAATTGAGAAACCTGCTAGATCCTTCCAATAGGCTTCACTCAAAAAACGTTCATATTGAATAATGATGTCCGGATATATGTCATTACAGTGACGTTCACATATCAAGCGCTCTTGGATTTGCATCTGGCCCAACTTCCAACCAAACAGCACTGCACTCACTGCTGGTCGAAGTTCGCCAGGTCGTTCGCCAGGTCATGCCAGGTCAGGTGCCCTCCGGGTCGGTCGACCAGCTCCAGTCAAAGGGCAAGCACCACAGTGAGTAGTGAAAGACCTGGGCTGCGAGAGGTTCAGCCAAAAAGCTGAAACCCAAGTGGTGGATGTGTCTTCTTCCTTCGTTTTCTGCGACGTCTTTTTTGGCAACAAAGCAGGCAACAAAGCAGTATATACCCTGGGAGTCAAAGACTATAAAAAGAATGGTCTTTAGGGGAACTGAAAGGGAACTTCCTTTACTTCAGCCGGTCAAAATATAGTCTTTGGACTTCTAGGGTATATGTCACGATGCATCTTCAATGATGTACCCTAGTTCATCCTATGTCTTCATACCTTTTTGGTGTTTGTTTTTGCCCACCTCTTCTTCGGATGCGTCCCCTGGCACCTGCAGCGCGTCCTTCGCATTCCGCAGCTGCTTGCGCTGGTACCACTCGAAATGTCTCCACACCACCCGGACGAACCACTCGCCATACTCGCCCAAGTCCATGTGCCGCGAGTTCCAACCTCTCAAGTGACGCCTCCGCATGCAGGTCCCACAGCTGGCATTGATCCAAATCTTCAAGTCCAGCATCTCTGCCAAAAGGTCGTCATAGAAGAGGAGAAACCCTTCCACGAGTACCACCATGGGAGACTCTAAGCCGGCCTTCCAGTCAGCACCTGCAGGAATCTCTGAGCGCAGAAGATCCTTCCCATTCCGCCCCAGGCGCAGCTTCTTTGGCCACTTTCGGTGCGAGAAGGTCTCCCGGATCTTCTTCAAATCCTTGCGCAAGGCCTCGAAGTCCACCCCGTCAGGCGTCTCCCAGTAGTGCTTCGGCGGGCGGCCCTGCCCCTTTGGCTGGAAGTAGTTGTCTAGGTGAAGGACCTCAAGAAGGGCACACGGTTCCAGAGGTTGGCATGGCAAAGGGAGTTAGGAGCTGTCTTGAAGCAATTAAAGAGCCACCAAACCATATCAAACCCATGCTTCTTCATCTCCAAAACCTTGAAAGTTTTGAAAGATACTGTATGACCCAGTCTTTTTCGTCGCCTCCAAGGGTGACTGGAGGGCCTCCGCCAACTTCCGCGCCAAGGTGGTCTTACCACAGCCGCTCGCACCCGCGATGCCCACGAAAACCACCGAGCGCCCCATGGGTTGAAAACACCGAAGCAGCGCGGTGGGCCCCACAGCCGAGCGGGTTGGAAGGCGCTCTTGAGGGCACAGTCGGGTCAGCGGCAGAAGATCAGGATTGAAGAAAATCGTCCTCCTTGTGAGCTGCCATGTGGGATTTGGAAGGTTGACCTTCCCATGTGCGTATATGTATATATATGTGTGTGTGTATATATATATATATACACTCACATTTTTCCTGTGTCAGCATAGGGACCAAGGATCATAAAGCGCTAAAATCGACTCTGGGTGTTGAAATCGGCCTGAAAGGGAAGACATGAGGAAGTTGGGTGACAATGTGCCGACACCATGTAAAATGCCCATATACCGTTCTCTCTCTCTCTCTCTCAATTGCGACACTAGACTTATCTGAGGCCGGCACACTCCCACGAGGCTACCCATAAGACCGACCTCAGTTTTGACCACACCCATCCCCAACCTGAAACACCACTCAAAAACAAACGTGTCTAAAAGAAAGGGACGCATAAAGATGCAATTCTGCATGTTTAAGAAGTCCTCTTGGTCCAACCTCCCATCATTCTTCCACACCTTGGCAGATGGGGTGAGGCTCTGGGTGAGTCCACCGGTGCGGAACCCGGTTTTGAGATGCAGCCCGAGCGGCGCGCTTGACCACGCCTGTCCCCAGCTGCTCCTCACACCGACTTAAATCAATGGGGGCCGAAGTAAGGCACAATCAGGCATGACTGACCAGTCTGCTGGCTACACCTGAGAGCAAGAACAATTAGGAAAGCAGGCTTCAATGCTACTAGGGGTTGCACATGATACATTTCAATGTGGGAAAGCAGGAAGCGCAAATCGATGCAAATGGCCGCACCACTCCATCACACGCACGACAAACCACGCAACTCTTCCAACTCGTTCCAAGCACCCCGACATCACAGTCAGGTTGCTTTGGGTTCCTCCATCCCTCTCGGACTCGGAAAGATCCCCTTTCGGACTGGTCAGTCGGCTTCTCCTCGGAGAGATGTGCCGAGGGGAGCCCCACCTTTGACGCCAACGCCTCGATCACCCCGCCGAAGGTCACCTCGAGGGAACGGGGCGCCGGGGCGGGCGAGGAAGTGCGAGGGGTTGGTGAAGGGATGTGAAGGGTTGGGGGGAGGTGGAAAGCTCCCTGGCCCTTGGGGAAAGTAGTGGGATCAAGTATGATCCAGTGAAACTGGAGAGGTCAGTAGTAGGCCTAGTAGGCTTTCTTGGAGGGTGGAAGAGGGCAGCACGCCAGTCAGCAAAGCCGGGTCAGCTCCGGACCCTTTTCGAGTTTCTTCTGATGAAGGCATCCCATCGAACGCAGCGAGCCGCAGGTTAGGCCAAGGCACTCCGGCCATATCGGAGCAGACCCTCAGCTCGTGGCGCTCGTCTCGCGCGCGCTCCCCGAGTGACCACTGAAACCTCTCTTCGTTCCCAAGTGGCCAAGCTGGCGTTTCGAAAGCAACACGCAGTCCCCTCATGTTTAACCACTGGCATCTCTCAGGGCGGGCGACAACACCAAGAACCAAAAAGTGGAAAAGGGGAGGGACCTTTTGTACACCCGGCTCGGGGAGCGATGCTTTGCAGGCACTCCCTGCCAAGCACTCCTAAGGCATCTCTTCGGATGTTTCCTCTACTCTCTCCGTGCGTGTGAGAGGTGTTGGCTTTTTGACCTGCGCCCAAGATCTCACATAAGTACACCTATTAAAAACGGATCCGACATGGACTAATGAATGCTGAAAAGGAACCTTCTTGCACAGTGCCGGATGAAAAGTATAAATTGCAAAATGATCAAAATGATGCAAAATGATTATCCTCTTTGCCTTCTTTTTGTTTGGTTCATCCAGCTCCATCCATCACCCACCACCCCATCCACCACCCCCACCTCCGGTCATCCTTTAAGGTCATCTAGTCTTAACCGAGGCGCTGCCCACACGCGGCGGCCGCCAGGGTGGACAGACCAAAGGTCACGCCTAAGGTGGCATCAATGGCGTTCCCCGCGTGCAGCATCACCTGGGGGCGAAGGAACCACGCGGGGTGAAGGAACCACGTGTTCCGCTCGCGGAGCTGTTTTGGGAGTCGGTGGGGAAAGGGAGAGAGCCGCCGGTCGGGTCAAGACCAAGCTTGGGATCGAGTTGAAAACAGCATGCTGCGAGGGGTCCCCGGAGTCCTGGATCTTGGGACATGCGAAACGAAGGGATTCCTAAGCTGCCGGAGAACACGGCACGGATAGGCCCCGGCTGAGTGGCGTTCAGAACTTGGACGTCGGCGTTGCACCATTCACCACCAGGTTTAATGAGATGAATGGTGCGCTGACGGTGCTGGCTTACCTCCGCGTACCCCTTCCGTTTCTAAACGTCCGATCTGAGCGGAAAAAGGCCACGGCGCCGAAGTCGAAACACACGGCCACGGCGCTGAATCGACCATCTTCCACCCGGGCTGTTTTCAGGGTCTGTCGTGTTTGAAAAGGGCCTCCCCTCCGAGCCCTTGAGGGCTGCACGGTGTTGTCCATGAACCCGAAGGCCACCATTGGGACAGCCTGCTGGGCATAGCCAACAAAATAAGATCGCGTATGTAAGGTTCATAGTTTCATGCAGCCACAGGGTCAAACTGAGGCCTGCCGCTGAACAGTTCATCAACCTTCTGAAAACCGCTGAGCACTGATTTCCAGGCCTATCATGTCCGCATATGTCTGCACAAAAGTCAGCTCTGTTTAGAAGATGAGCATGCGTTCAACCCTCAAAAGCCTTGCGACTTGCGCAGTCGCCACAACAAAGCAAAACCTCTGAGATGTTCTCAAATTGAGCAGCTATAGGCTATAGCATTTCATGTCATCGCATGTCAGCACCAGCTAGGTGGCCCGACCGAATTCAGCGCATGCGCCCTCAACTGCCCTGGGCTGCGGTCAAGATCCGTTTGACGGGTGGACCTTGGGTGGTGGGCTGGGCACCTCGGACGAACACATCACGTGGAAGTGGATAACCTCCTGCTCTTCTGTTCGTAAAGGAAAGTAGTCTTCGAAAAGACCACGCCATCCACTTCCATATTAGTGACTCAGGGTGTAAGCTTTGATCGCGTCCAAGAAAGTCCAACGATTCTTCCGATTCAAATCCTTTTTTGGTGGAGTCCAACCCCCAACCTCAAAGTCGATCCGGCCAGCAGCTCTACCCCCAACAAAAACACCTGGCCCACAGGCCACGGCCAAAGGTTCTAGCCTCTGTCTGCCTCTCTACACCTTGAAAGCTTATCACTACTACTCAACCTACTTGTAGCATCTCCAGACCTCCGCAAGCCTTACCTCCACTCTTCCCCAACCAAGCTGCAGCTCTCAGGCGCCTTGGGCTCCGCATCCGCCGCCGGGCCCGGCAGCGAGGAAGAGCCTCGCGGCACAAGCAGGTGGCCTGGCAAGGTGCCTCGCATGGCGAAGCGGCGGAGTGCCAAGGCACCCGTCTTGGGATGCGATCAATAACGTGTGTTTGTATTGTACCGTATTGTATTGTATTGTACTGTCTTGCAGTGTGTTGTATTGTATTGTGTTGTAATGTAAGGTATGCATGACTATATGCTGTATGCATGAGAGAGGTGGAAGATCCCAAAGGTAAATCTCTCTCTCTCTCTCCCCCCATCGCCCCACTGACCCCGATCGACCTCACCTGCATACACCGGCCGTGGCAAGGCCCGATAGACCCGTGAGCACGAGTTCCCGCGGCTCGCGCGTAGGCACAGCCGTGACAGCGCCATGGGCGCAGAAAATGCCGGGAGAAACACCTGTCCCTGTCGGTGTGATCCGTCGAGCTGCTGCGTTGACCACTCAGTCCGATGCGTGAGCGAATGTGTGCGGTCCCGACGTGTGGCAGCTGGCCTGATGCTGGAGTTGGAACGTGGAACGTGGAACTTGAAACCGTTTTGGCAGCTTGAGCGGCGGCAGGCACTTGACTTCAAGCCTAAGTCTGTCACAGTTCGTTTCTATCCAATAGTTGCACCTACGGGCGGCCGCTTGCACACCACTTCATGGCCCCTTTCAAACCATCCAGCTGACCTATATAAATTTATAAATATAGCATTAACAATCCTAAATCCTAATCACTCACCGTTATTCAACATCCCATCCAAGTGGCAAACAGTCCATCCTAAAATCGCTTGGCTGCAATACATTGGCCCACGCTCCAACCACCACACCACGGACGCCAAGAAGGGTTCTTGCAAATGGCCTCCATCACCATCATCCTATATATTAGTCAATAAATGTCCATAATCATAACTTGGATTCCTCCCACTTGACGTTCTTGGCGGCGTCTGACGATCGTAAGTAGAAGGGGGCGATCACTAATTCAAACACACCATCTCCACACCTCTTCCTTCCCACCGCCCTTTTCATCCGCCCAGACTGGAAGAGCTTGACTCCAGCAACGGTTTCGCGCCGGCGCGCTCCTGCGCGCGGCGCACCATCAAGTGCCAATCGGTGGCCAGAATGAGCCTCGGCAGATCGAAGTTTGGGCATCCGTTTGGTGCACTTGATGCCTGTTGGCCGACAATGACCCTCCAAGATCTCCAAGTACAAAGGTCTAGCAGCTGGCAGGTGCGGGGACTGGGCCACAGATAACTACTGATGCTTTTCCAGTGGAGTTGGTGGGAAGTATCGTCTTCCTCTTCCCACCGAGCCACCACAGGAAGCCCAAGAGGTTGGCCGCCGTGCCCACGAGCGCGCCCAGCGCCAGGCCCAGGGTGGCCAGGTGCTCCGGCCAGGCCAACAGCCAAGCGATCGGGAGGCCCAACAAGTAGTAGGACGCCACCACGATAGGCGCCTCGTGTGCCGCGGTCCCACGGCCCAGGGTTCAATCGTCCAAGGGAAGATGGGCACCGTGCTGAAGTAGAGGCTTTAATCTTGAAGGGTGTTGCTGGGAGATTGATCGTGAGAGGTCGCGAGTGTGTGAGATCAGCCTCGCTTCAGGTGTCTAAAATGTCGAACTGGCTGGTTCCACAAGAGTGAGTCTTGAGGTGTTCGTTATGCTCATATTTAAAGCCGCACCATTTCCCATCATGTGCCCCCCCATCCTCCCATCCCTCCCCAACCCGTGCCCTAGCCACTCTCCCAACCTCCTCACAACCTCACTTTGCTTTCTTCCGAGCCCACCACACCACGGTTCGCTCCCTCCCACCATTTCCCCGAACGCTTCACCATCGTGGCCATCCCGGCCGCGAACCCCCCCCGTCCTCTCCTGGATCATTTGGCGGCCGCAGCCCTTCAGCGCGCCGTTCACCACGATGGTGAGCCCATCGAAGACCACGTAGGCGCTGGCCACCTGCAGCACCGGCTCCGCGGTGGCGTCCACCGCGCGGTCCGCGGTGAAGAGGCGTAGCCAGCCATGGCGGCCCAAGAGCACCGCTAAGGACCTCGTAAAAAGCGGGTCGAGTCGGTGGGTGGAGGGCAGGTGGAGGGCAGGTGGAGGGCAGGTGGAGGGCAGGTGGCAACGTCAATATGCGGACCATCCAAAAACATCGTGGAATATCGGGGCTTTGCATGAGCAATTCCCCAGCCTCTCAAATGTGATTTTGTCCGTCAAAATGATGGTAGGGAGGCAATGGGAGGCGGGGGTTAGAGTGATGTCAGTGATTCCCGATACTTTCACAAGTTCTTACATTTATGCTCCAGGTCACTGCTTTATTATGCTTTATCTGGTAGTGTCACCTATACATCCCCGGGACAACCCCCTCTTTCGTGATGATACTGTGAGTCATATGTGCAAAAATGGCAGTCTGGCTTTCAGGCCGCGCCGCACAAAAGAACTAATCAAGCACCCTCTCCAAGACATCAACCAGGTCGCGTGAGCATCACCAAGCCCAAACCCAGCAACATACTCACGCGCATGGCTGCGCGCGCACCATGAGCGCGTCCGGCGCCCAGCTCGTTGCTCACGCGGGTGTTGGTGGCCATGCCCAGGCCACAGGGGAAGTAGAAGCAAAGGGAACCTGCAAGTGGTTGGAGTACATCTGCGGTGAGCTTAGGCTTAGGCTTCTCAAATGAAAGAAGCTTGACTACTTAAGGGCTGCATGGCTGACATGGACTGCTTGGGTCGTTTGGATCCGTCTGGAGCGTTCCCCGTTGAGACATTCGCCTCACCTACTACAGACATGAAAGTTGCATGAGGAGTCTCCTCACAGTGCTTGAATTGAGGCTGCTGTTTGCTGAGACAAAGGGAGGCAAAGGGCACTTGCCTCCTCCCACACTCCCTTGGACGGCATCATTGGTGGACTTCTTCCCCGAACCGCGCAGCTTTCTTTGTCAAACTGTTTGCAACGATTGTGGTTTCATCTCTTCCTACCAGTGCCAAGAAGAAGCGGGTCGGCATGACAGGCGTTTGCCACAGGCGCACTCAGAATCTCAGTGGTGCGCCGAAGTAGCTGCAGCACTCTGCACAAGATGGTGCAACAAAGGACTTAAACATGCCAAGCACCGGAAACAAACGCCTCACGATGGCCAACATATCAAAGAGAATTCGCAAATATAACATATATATATATAGGTGTAATGAACTGCAGTGGCTACGCCCACAATGGCAACATCTACCATCTAGAGGCTGCCTCCAGCTCTTCAAAGTACCCTACCTGGCTGCGCTGCACGTCAGCTTCAGAGAGCCCCCTCTTCGAAACTTCCCCCTGCAAGGCTCGCTCGAATTCTTTGAACTCACCTGCCACGTCGAGTTTGCAGTAGGACCAAGTCAAGGCACAAAGTCCCCAGTTTGTGAGGGACAAGAACTTCTTGATGGACATGAAGCGTTGCTGCACTGCTTTGAGGAGTGATTGATCTCGCATTCCTGACCGTGCACAAGCCCAAACAACAACAGGCACACCCAAATGCAACTCCCTGTCACTCAGTTCTGGGAGCATCTGACTGAACTGCACTGCCGCCAGTCGCAAGAAAGATGCATGAAGCAAGCGGCCTGCCTCAGGAACAACCTCCTCAAGAAGCACAAGTGCCTGCAAATTATTTGCAAAATCTTGTGGCTTCATGAGGTTCAATGCCTTCATGTCATCCAACGAGTCTGGGATTTGTGCTACAAGCGCTGGCACACACTTTAAGACTTCTGGTGCGGCATTTTTCAACCGTGCCGCTGCCCACAAGCAGTTGGACAACTCTTGATGCTTCATGCCATCAGTTTTGCTTGGGATTTGGGCAGCTAGTGCTGACACTACGTTGACCACATCATTGGGTGCCACATCCTTCACGTCTTTCAACTGCGCCGCTGCCCACAAGCAGTTGGACAGCTCTTGAGGTTTCATTTCCTTGACCTTCCCTGGGATGTGGACGGCAAGCGTGGCCACCAGCTTTGCAACATCATCTTGGGATACATCCTCCACATTCCTCAACTGTGCTAAGGCCCACAGACAATTCGCCAGTTCTTGTGCCGTCATGCTGCGGGTCTTTGCTGGAAATACTTCGACCAAATCCGAAAGGAGCTGCGTCATGGTGGGGATTGCGTTATGCAGATTTGCCATTGCCCAGAGCAGATTGGCAGATGCCCATGACTTTATCTCATTTTGCTTGATGAAGGTCCGCATCCGAACATGTAGCCTGCTCAGTGCGGAGCTTTCTTTCCATCTTGGCGACAGGGAGTCTTGACTTTTCCGGGCCAAACTTGCCAGTCTGCCGTTGATGCGTGGATGGGATCGAAGAAAGCTGCATTCACCGTCTCCTCCAGAATGCCAACAAGCTCCAACTCTGACCCGGCTTCTTTGAGTCTGGAGTTCAACCGTCTGACCTCGCCCTTAGAATCTGGCTTTTTCGCACCCTCCTAGCAGTCCGGAGCCCACAGCTGCGGGTCCGCAGCTGCCTCGATGCCCCCAAATAGCTGAGATGCATCATTTCGAGCCAGCCTGCACACACCAGCAACCACATCGGCAAGCATTTGGCAGGCTTGCCACAGCAGCCCCTCTTTCTGGGTAAAGGCATGAACATTGCAAAAGCCGGGCTGAAGGAAAGTTTGCTTGCCTTGTTGGGACGGCCAAGATGTTTGGTTTCCGCCCCTATCACTTATACTTATAGCTGCTCCACTGCTCCACTGTAGTTCCGTTTCATCGCAATGATGCAAATGTTTCACTTGAGCATGCAAGCCGACAAAAGCGCCAGAACACCATAACTAACCTTCCTCAAGCTCAATAAATGCTCAACTCATGACTCCACAACCAGCCCGCCAGGGCACAGGTGTTGGAGAAGATGGCCATCGCCGTCAAGTTCGCTTCGGCATTGGGCAACGTGCCCGCCAGAAGCACGATGATCTCGGCTGCCCACCACTCCTCCCGCGCGACGTATGAACGGGGCACGATTGCCATGATGAACGCGTTCAACATTGTTTAGCTCAGCAGAGCCCACGCAACCAAATACCGTATTATACAGTACTCTACAGACTCTACATAACTACGTAAAAACTACGTGACAACGGAACACAGCCCCAGGCCCCTCAGGGTGTGCAATGCCCCAATTGTTTTCGCTCGACATCGCCGAAAACGGCTCCGAGATCATCAGGAAGTTGGGCAAGGCCAAGCGAAGGAAGCTGGGCCAGCCTTGAAGGGAGTTTAGTCAGCGTTCATTGGCCTGGAGGGAACATTATTATGATTATCATCCTTATGATGATTATGATGTGATGTGTTATGTGTGTAATTATTCTACAGATCATCTGACAGGGCAGGACAGAATCTGGAAGCATGCACCACAAAAACCTGATCTCTAATGTTAATCCTTCTATGTTGCTCCCCTAGGGCCCTAGGGCCTGGGGGGCCCCGGGGCTCCCAACACCCGAAACCGAAGCAATGGTAAACTTGAATCACCTCCTGAGCCGCGTGTCTGCACCTTTTCCCTGATCTCCTTTTCCAGCCCATTAAGACATCCATTGACCTACCCACACGACCTACCCAGACTTGGAAGATCCACGCCATCTCTACAAAGTCAGCACTGTCAGCACCCAGCCTGCCTTGCAAGGCCTTCCTGGACCAGCCCTGCCAGGACTGACTCAAGTCTCGCAGCGCCCGGCGGGTCCTGCGTCAAGTGCCAAGGACGTGGAGGTTGGAGGCTTGGAAGGGTGGTCATGTGAACACAAGGAAGCAGGGGATGACTGTGATTGTATAAGCGGTTTAAGTGTATTCTTCTCGGATTCATCCTCGCAGGCTAGGAGAGGGACAAGAGTCGCAGTTCTTCCGAGCTAGTTCCCAAAATCTGCCTCTCCAACAGCATGCAGAATCACCTGAACCAGCCGGGCTGCTTGTAGATCACCCAGATCAGCCGCAAACAGTTCCCCATGGAGGTGGCCACTGCCGCCCCCAAATAGCCCATCTGCTGCACCAGCAGCCAGCAGAGCGGTAAATGGACCACCGCCAAGACGAAGCCGCTGCTGCCCTGCACACCGGTCACACGCTGCCCCGCCAGCCAGTTCCTTGGAGCGGCGCCAGCACTGAGCACGGTGCAGAGCCAATAGCATCAACACCTAAAAATATCCATTCTCATCCGTTCTCAGTCCTTCCTCCAAAAAGGCACATGTTGTAAAATAACGAGGGCGGTGGCAACACCACCACAATATCCTTTGAGGCCAGAAACCTTGGAAAATGGTGCATTGCAGTGGATCACCAACCAGTTTCAAAGCCAAGGCCGATGCTTTCACATGCCTGATCCGTTGATCCGTTGTGCGCCAAAAAAGACTCTGTCCAGAAAACGCGCACGTGGAACGAAATGGAAATCCGCCTTTTTGATCCTATTTGTTGATAAACCTATGTAAACTTGGTGTTTCAAGATGTTTCAAGCACCCATTGGCGAAGGGAGTCTCACACAACAGAGCCCCCAAGCTCGGCTGCTCTACGCCGTGCGGATCAAGCTGCTGGAGGCACTGGGTGACCACGAAACAGCACAGCCCTGGGATTGGGGCCATCGGAGACCCAGTGGCACCCCATGAGATGGGTGGAGCTAGCTGGCTGCCAGGAGCATCACTGCATATCACTGGGCTAGTGACATCAAGCATCCCCCCAACATTCCTGACACACATCTGGTGCAGCACCTAGGTCTCCTAAGCCCTACTGTATATCCAGAACACAAGTGGTGCGCGCAGAACGGTCTCGTCACAGCCGCCTGGAAGCAAAATGTGCAAATACTGTGCCGCCATGGCCGCAATCGCTTCCTCCTGGCCGCCCAGAAGCAGCAGGGAGTGGCTGTTGAACCACAAGGCCGCGACGATGCAAAGGAAAACCGCACACAGCCTGAGGTGCCGGCAGGGTCACTTGGGGGTCATGGAGGTCGCAGAAGCATGTTCAGTTCTGAGCATTGAAGACCGTGTAGGTCACCTTTACACGACGAACCGTCCAAACTGGATCACCAAGCTTGGGCCGCAAGCTTGAAGAACCGAAGCTAAGAAGGAACCTTGAAACAGGGGCAGTCTTTTGAATCTCCTTGGCTCCCGAATTCTGGCATGAGCATTGAAGACCACAATCTTGACCAGAATCAACCACCAGCATCTCCAACGCGCACATCAACGTCCCCCCGGCTCGATTTCCTACCATGTTCTCTCTCTCTCTCTCTCTCTCTCAAATTCACTGAAGTCCTAACCCGAACCCTCCACCACCCCTTGCCCACCAAGGCGCAGCATGCAGCGCTGCAAGCTCAAGGAGACTTCTTCGAAGTTCCGAGCGCCAAAAGCTTGCCCTGCCGTGGTCTGCAGGGTGCTGGCCACCCCCACGATGACCTCAGAGCCACAAAAGGACACGCACGGACCGTAAAGGAGCACGGATACATATATGGCACAAAAGAAAATGAATTCCCAAATGGACATCCAAGTCTGGTCTTCAAGGTTCCAGGATTTTAGATGCTTCTGAACCGACACCAAGTGCGGCAACTGCAGCACGCTCCATCTCAACTGGCCATCACTGCCACCTCCCACCACCCCGCTCCACCTCGACCGACCACCCAGACCCACCCAGACTCACCGGGCGCCCCTCGGCCGCCGGACGCTGTAGCCGGAGACGTTCGCCAGGCTCACCGCCAGGCTGGCCGCAGCGAGGTCGCGGGCGCCCAGGCGTCCCACGAGCACCGTGGAGACGAGGTTCACCACCTGCGCAGAGGGCGAGGTCACGGAGCATGTGGGAGGCAACATCTGCAGGCGAGGGTTTGTACCAAAATGGTGGAGACGGTGATGATGCTGCTGGTGGAAAGGTGGTGTTGGAAGTAGAGGTGCTCTCAAATCCACAGGCCAGCGAGAGGACAACACCTGCTAAAGCACCGGTGGTGGTGCTCTTTCATGTTCCACCGACCACGAGACCCCACCTGCGTCGACAGCAGTCCGGCGCAAATGGGCAGCGCCAGGCGCGTTTGGTCCAGCGCCTCGTCCTTGAAACTCCGGGGCTCCTCGTCCTTGAAAGGCGTGGTGGAACGTGTAGTTCACTACACGTGAGGCTGCGGAGGTTGGTCTGGGTTGGATCCATCCCATCACCGGCAACCGTGGATGATGATGATTAGTCAAGGCCTTTCAACTAAAATATATAGTTACAATACCGACTGTTACAGGCAATAAGGCAGACCGGGCAGACCCAAAGTATGGGGCCTGTATGGGCCTGCGCACGCAAAGCTTGATGTTTGTTGTAAGAGTGAGACACAGAAAAAGAAAGGAAACTTAACACATGTTCATGTTCATCAAGGTTCATTGGCAGAACGTTTTTAATTTAGAACGACACGGACGAGTACGAGGCCCTTTTACGTTGTTTCATCTGTTCCTCTTTGATGTGTGTGTCCACTATGTGGGCAAAGCACGTCCGACCGAGAGAAGAAGAAAATGGGAGCTTGGAATCGCCCATTCTCCGAGAAAACCCATTGGAAAACCCATTGGAAAACATGTTTCGGCCAGGTCTCTAGAGACCTAGGACCTAGGCAACAGAAGGCCAGGCCCAGCGTTCAGGTCAATGAAACAGCCTTGCTGGCCATGCGAAAGCACACCGCAGCTTCTTCCAACCCCCCCCAAAAAAAAAGAAAAAACATGGTCCTCCATCTTCTTGTATAATGTTTAGGTCGGGCCACGCACCTCTCTGATCGAGAGACCACTGCCCGTGGTTCGTCCAGGAGCCCCCGTCATGTTCAGGACCCCCACCACCTCATGTTCAGATCCTCACTGGTGAGCAAGCAACACAGGGTGGCCTGAGATTGGTGCCGTGCTGCTACCAGACGCCCATGCAGGGGATGCTTTCTGCCCTTCCTCGGTCCTCCCCACCCGGATGGACGGATGGACGGACGCTCTGAGTCCCAGTGGCCTGGATCTCGCGAGTTTCCAGCGACATGACGGCCCGTTTGAAGCACCAAGTGTTTGCCTGTGTTAGTACGGTTTCCAGGGAAAAGGGAGCAGGGAAAGGGTTCTAAACCCTTCGACCAACTCCAACAGCCTTATCACCAGAAGTGGTGTTTGGATCCTCCATGAACTGCACTTCGTGGCCCTGGCGCGGACGCTGGGGTCAAAGAAAACTCCACCTTAGCTGCGACTCAAGTCCCGTGTGATGTGACCATGAGCCGGTGTGCGGTTTGCCTTACCTTACTTGATGTCGGACTCGGCGGTCCCGGGTTGACGGGAAGCCTGCCGCAGTCTGGGCGCTTGGAAAAATGGCTTGCAGCACATAGGCCATTCCGTCCAGCAAGCACACATGCCGAAACCAAGTCAGAAACCACTGGGCATGGCATGACAGCTCCTGAAACTGCCAATCATAAGTTGACACAGTCGAGCAAGGCCGCCAGGCCCAAAGTGCGGCGCTTCGATTTGTCCACCCTGTGTCGAACAAGCTCCGCGTCCGCCGGACCTCGTGGCCAGAGAGCGACTGGAGCCACATCATCCCCACGTGTGAAATGGAATGCATCCCCCGTTCTTCGTAGTGTTCATGGATTCGTGCCACTTATCCGATAAGGCTCATTGGTGAAAATGCTGCACATGGCATGTGTATAAACGATTTACTTTGAGCCGCATGCTCACAATTAAAAGACGGTTCTTTGTGGTCGCTCCACACAACATGGTCCATCCCCCCATGGAGAAAAGGCCGCTCTAGTAGAGTGGGTTCCGAATCGGAATCGTCTGGCCAACACGATGGCCCGGCTGCCGGAACGACACCTGACAGACTTGACACTAGCATTTTATGATATTGGGTGTATCCCATGAACAGTAACAGTGGATTTTTTGGGTTAGATACGGTTAGTAAAGCCTTTCTTTAAACTTTATAGTATAAAGTAGTGATATTTCTTTACCGACTGTTACTGGTAATGGGCTACACCCTATATAGATATTTATAGCCCACTGACCTCCTAGGCCTGGAGAAAGGACACGGGAGATGGCACTCGATGAAGCCCAAAGGTTTCTGAGAGAGAATCACGAAACGGTGGCAGTCTGTGGAAGTCTGCAGCACAGCAAAGCCATGAACCCAAACAACCCTCGTTGCGCTTTCATCTCCATACTGAAGTCTCAATCACTGAGACCAAGTTCCAGGCACAGCTCCAAAGGTGTTCGCCAAAGGCTCCCCAAGGGCTTTGCGCCTGAGCGCTTAAATGCGAGTCTCAGACCGTCATCTGGAACCAGCCAGTGAGAGCGGGTACGAAAACATATTGACACACTGCCTCGACGTGTTTGGTTATCTCGACTTGGGTTTGGCAAAGGACTGCCTGTGTTTCCAGTTTCCTGTCCCTCAAGTAGTTTCTTCCATGCGGAATTGCTCTGGCACATTGGTCATCACTGGTCTACGTTGCCCCGGCGTGGCCTGAGTCAAATCTCATGCGTGTAATTCAGAAACCTACCAAAACACCCCACCCAAACAATTACAATCAGCTCAGTGAAAGGCCTGCCTTCAACAACGCCTACAGTAAGGTTCCAATCCTCTTGCCCTGACACGATGCGGGTCGATGGAAACCCTAGACACCCTCCGGTCAAACTGACACATGACCATCAAGAGTCATTGAATTGAGTCATGGAAAGAGAAACCCAACAACGGCGACCAACAGGGCCATTTTCTACTTCCATGCTTGTTCAATAGAGGGCTACCCTCCAATTGGGGTATTCAGTTACGTCCCAAGAGCGGGTCATCGAAATTGACCCACAGCTGGAGGTTGAGACCGCCGACCGAACAGGCAGTTGACCACTGGCGCACTAAAGCCGGGTCAAATCATGTGTAAACTGTATACTGCCCTGCGGCAAGAACTGCCAAGGTGTGTTACTAGTTACCTGCGTGGCAACGGATGAACCAGGTACACCACCCGTCGCTTTCTTGAACTCAGCCGGCGGGTTGAACCTGCTTGGCATCCAACAGCCGGCCCTTTTCTGGTCATGGTGCGATGGCACACGGCGGCCGCAGAACACCAGTGAACAACTAACGCAGCACGACCAAATCAACAAGCCCATGACCAAACAAGGTTCCCCCACCGATTGTCGACAGCAGGAACCAAACAAGTAGACAATCAATAAACAAGACGTCTCACGAAGTGTAAATAGTAATTAGACCCAGCCCAGCCCTAGACTTCCTTGTTGCTGGATATGCACGCTTGCAACACCTTGGCGATCCTTGACGGCTTGTTGTCGCATGACACCGGCTCCCGGCCACCACCTCCACCTCCCACCCATTATAGATTCCAAGGTCCCAAGCCCACGACGCTTCGTTGGGGTGGCAGGAGCTGGCTTCAGCAAAGCCTCGGCAAAAGCGGTGAACGGTGAACACTTATATATATTTCCATATATTTCCTAGGTCTCTGATTCATACGGCAACCATGCCTTCAGACTGTGTTTATGTGTTCTGACATGATGATCTTCCTTTTCCTGCTGCAAGCTGAAAGGCACCGTGAACGTTGTGACACCGGCCAAGGCGTGGCGACCTCTGTTGCGCACACACACCCCAGGATTCCACAAATGGTGACACAGGTCCAGACTGACACTAAAAGGCCGTCTGAAAAACTAAGCAAGTTCACACGCTTTCGCCATGCCACGCACTGTCTTTCACTATGAAGAAGTGCTCTTCTGTCTCTTTCGTTTCCGCGGTCTTCTGGACGAACTGCTGCTGCTGCTAGTAGTGATTGTGGGGCCACCGGCTTCGGTCAGCACAGCTGCATCGACCAGCTGGTCAGTCTCGATGTCAAGCACCGTGTGAGTAAACGGGCTAAGCATCTCATCCCATGGTTGCTGCTCATGCGCTGGGGCACGCTTCGCGAGCTCAGCGCTTTTGTTCCGCCAGCAGGTCGTCAAGTGCTTATTCGTCCAGATGTGGCCGCGGCCTCCAGCACCACCTGCGAAACCATCTTGCCACGGCACATCCAGACTGCAGGCTTTGCAGTGGAAACGTTTCTGAGAGATGCACACACCATGGGACTTCAACCGCCAGCCGTCCCTCTGAAGCCGCCGCCAGCATTTCATCGTCCAAAAAAGCCAGTCGAAGTGAGAGTGGTACCATCGTTTGTTCCGTTTCTTTTTGATGCTAATGTGATCCACAACCTCCTCATGCCCGGGTAAAACCTGTTTGCAAAGCTGACACTTGATGGCACCATTCTCGGCAATAATGCCAATGGATGCCCAGTCCTCCCAACTCAAATCGAGGTCATCTATGTCCACACCGGGCTCTTTCAATTGCATCGCCTTCTCGCTGGGAGGCCCACAAACATCGAAGTCCCTGCCCGGCTCGGGCACTTCGCCTAGAATCCTAGAAGCTGTGCTTCACGAACTGCATTCCAGTCAACCGCCGTAGGCACCGCAGGCATTGCCGGCGCAGCCACCTTCCCCGAGCTGGCCTCGGCAGAGGAGCATTCAGCGCTGGTGAGGTCTCTGACAGGGGAAGCCGCAAAAGCCGAAGCTGGCGCAGGACAAGACTTCACAGCCAGAGGGCGGGGCTTGACTGCTATGGGCCGTGCCTTTGCCCACAAACCGCTCACCTTGGACTGTGCTCGTGCCAGTGGAGCTTCCGAAGCAGCCTTGGCCTTGCACGTCTGCAGGAGTAGTGGTGAAATGTCTGAACCTGACTCTGCTGTCGGCTCGGCGTGAGGCACTCCCTGTGGTGGAGCCTTGGCTGACGAGCCAAAAGGAAGTGAGCCCCTAGTTCCTGGCATGGTTTTTGGCTCAGGTCGGGACACTGCTCCAAAGCCGGAAGGTCCCGGAAGTACTGCTTCTTCTTTCACTGCCATCGCAATCGGCTGTGCTGAAGCGACTTCTGACTCTGCATGTTCCTCCTTCACCTCCACCAGTTCCACACGCGCGCCGCGATGCGCTCGCGCTCTTCATCTCTGCGCGGCGGCGGAGGCTTCGGCCCCGGCAGCGGAAAAGGGAGCGGCGGGTGCCGCACACGATGGTCCAACTCATCCATGGGCCCCTATGGAGCTGCAATCCCTGTGGGCTACAAGGCAGCTCTGCATGATATGTTTGCCTTTTGGCTTGATTTAGTCGTCTGCTCAGGTAAAGCGCTTTCATCAAAGTGGTTGAGGGAAAGAATCTGTTGCATCATTGCCTTTCAAAGCGTGTCACAGTGTGATATAAACACATGGAAGTTGGAAGCGGGAGTTGAAGCGTGATCCTCCTCTGCCCCTGTTTGGCTTTGTTAGTGTTCTGGGCTTCACTCAGAGCAAGTCCTGTGACCACTTCAAACATGGAAATATATATATCTACACAACCGAACTTGCGTTATTGCACTTTATGGTATCTAATGATGCATCTTTCTCTCACCCATTGCAGCTCATGGCCTTGGACTGGCAGCAGCTGCGAACATTGAAACAAAGCAGGACCCGAAACTAACAAGACTGAGATGAAGTCACGGGATTTGGATATCTTTAAAAATCTTTAAGATATGAGGGTTATGCTTTTTTGTTTTTCAGTGCTGATCCATGTCCATGGCGTTTGTCCTAGAAAAAGAGCATCCTGTTCGCCTCCTGTTAATGTTCTAATCGCTTTCTGACCAACTGGGGCTGCCGAGCCGACCTTCTCTTCGTCACCAATGGGACCTCCTGCTGGGTGCTGTTGCAGGGAAGCAAGACCGGGCTTACTCCCGGGGAGTTCTTTTAGTTGGCTGAGTGCAGAGTTGCCCCCTCCAACATGTGCCGACGAGTCGGTGGACCGAGGTCATCCATGGTCCTCCATTTTCTCTGGTCAACCCAGCTAGCCCGATTTGGACCTACGCTCGTGGACTGGTCTACAGTAATTGGTCTGTCTTCCGTTGTTGAACACATTGGCCTGCTTGTCACACTCAGACTCGCTCATGTTGGTAGACTGTACTGCTGAATGAATGGCAGTGTGACCGGCTATACAGGAAAAAAACACAAACTGCCGCACAGTGGCCATGCCTGTTCACATTCCATTTGTCCAGCAACCAAAACCAGCCAAAAACAAATTATACACCATAAAGTGACCCACCACAACCCCCTACGCCCCACTCCACTCACATCAGCGCTCCACTCCGCCGCCCCAAGAGCGCCCGACCTCCACACGGTGCAAGCCTGCACAAGCCCCAGGAGACGCCAGGGGCGCCAGGGGCCTGGAAATTGAGCCCCAACCAGAAGCAAATGGATGCAAATGGTTGTTCATGGTTGTTCAAACGCAGCTATAGCTGTCCTGAGTTTCTAGAACAGATCTTGTCAAAGGTCATCCATGGTTGAGCCACCAGGCGCTCCTTCCTCGCAGCCGTCCCACTTATGAAAGAGAATTTATCTGGTTGGAGCTGCTTGAAAAGGTCCTTGCAGATTTATTCTATTCTTTTCACCGATTCTCGGATTGAAGAGCTCAGAACACCTTCTTCCTGACAGGTCGGGGATTTGGGCCCCCAAAAACGGTGAGTCAAGGCTGAGCTGCTCGACCTTGCCAAAGTAAATCTGCAAGGTCACCCGCACATGTCATGTCCAGACCAGCTACAGGCCCATGGAGCCTAAGGCCACAAGAAAACCACAGAGCTCTATGCTTAGGTCCCATCCTTGGTGCGTGCCCTGAAGACTTGGAGCTTTGCAAGGCCTCCAGTCTCCGTTTCTGAGTCCCCACGTGTCGGAGTTCGGAGGGCCCAGGAGTTCTCCGCGCACCATGGACCTTCGCAAACACCACGGACGGTAACGAGACTCTGCGTCATGAAGCTCACTTGCATGGCGGCCTGAACACCCTGCCTTTTCATGGAAAGGGGGTGCGTTAGGACGGCCTATTCGCTGATGTTCATTGATCTTTCCTTGGTTTAATCTCGTGTCAAGGTCACTAATAAAGATATGTATATATCATATACACATATATACTAATATATATTATGGGTGTGCATTGGAATAGCGAGGCCCCCCCGTAGATCCACTTGAAGAACGAAAATAGACCAAAACCTATTCATTGGTTTACGGGGCTTCCTGACCAATGACAAAGCCATCTTAGGCGGTTGTAGAGTGGCATGTTTGCGATGTGGTGTTCAGCAGCCACTGGGCCCTGCAGCAAACAAAAAGAACAAATAAGAAAAGCAGCTCTGCTTTGCCAGTGTCTGTTGTCAGGCTTGTATCGTATCGGGTGAGAATGGTCAGGTCTGATAGCCACCGCCACCTGTGTCTTCACCTTCCCTTTAACCAAAGGCCGCTCTCCCTTTGTCCTTTGACAGGCGTGATCAGAAGCACTGCACGGCGGGCCGGTCTTCAGCCAATGGGTGCAGCTGTTCAGCACACATGAAACGAGCTTCTTCAACGAGGCCGCGGTTTCTTCACGAGCTTCTTCAACGCTCTCTACTGCATAGAGGTCCCCATGACCAAACAAAAAGCTTCATGATTTTCCGAGGCATGTTCAAAGGCTATCCACTCTTCCTTTCTCTTTTATGTATTGGAGGCCACTATGCTGACTATACAACGGCCTCAAAGGCTATCCACCCTCCGTGTCTCTAGGGCAAACATGGGCAAACCACCTTGGCCCCCCCCCCACACCCTCCGTGTCTCTAGGCGGCATTGGCTTGGCCCCACACGCCCTCCGTGTCTCTAGGCGGCATTGGTTTCGTTCACCGCAGTGGCTCCTACCACGACAGGGGCTGCTGGCTCGACCACCTTCGCTTCCACCACCACCATGGACGGCGGAGTCGGATCCACATATGCGGCGGGTCCAACCACCACCGGCGGCACGGCCTGTGGTTGGGTCTTCCACATGGTCCGCATGGTGCCGCCGATGCAACAACAGCAGATGCAGAAGGCACAGCAAATGCAAACAACAAAGACCACGGGGATCATGAGGAAGATGCAAATGTTCTGATCGCAACTTCCCGCGCCACTCCAACAGAAGTCACACTCACATTGGTTGAAAAAGGGGTCGTTGTCGAAAAAGCTGTCAGAGACGCAAACTCCATTTCCACCACACTCATCTCTTGATCCGAGAATGCAAGAAGCACTTGCGAAGGGCAGTAGCGCCAAGCAAATGCGAACGGCTTGCGCCATGTCACTAACACTCTCAACCTTTCATGTGACAGAAGCTCTTTAAAAGGGCTGCGATGTTCAGTCCTCGTGCTTCTGCGGGCCCCAGGTGCAAGCTGCTTTCCCAACAAACTCTCAGCACGCAAACACGAATACGTGATAATATAATACATGCGTTACAAAAGCCAGCATTAGCTGCGTTTCTGGAAGAGCTATGACTTCCCACAATATCCTACAGTTGGATTCTGCAAGGAATTCTTATGTCGTCCCAGTTGGAGCTACGACTTCAACAATCAAGAAGTCATACTCCACACGTCCTGCCATCCCACATCCCCACCATCCCGCCATCCCAACGGAAAACGGAAAACGGAGCTAACCCCACCATCCCACCCAGCCTCCACCATGACCCAGCCTGAACCGGACTGGAGGTGACCTGAGTTCAGTACCCCTTCTCATCCCTTTCCCAGCCGCTGGCTGGCGGCCCGACCCAAGGAAGGGCACCTTTGATGTTCTCCGGCTGGAGACGGGGGGGTGGCTATCTGCTCTCAAGTTGTCAGGATGGGGGGGAAACGTAAGGCGTAAGGGCTCCAATAGCAAGCGATTGGCCCAGCCGGTCCTCAAACCGCAGCTAGATAGACGTTCCATGATACAAGACCAAGCACTTGTCAGGGTCTCTTGCTTACACCTCCGTATGGGAGCCACATCTTATCCAAGCTCCCGGCTGTCTACCTCAAGGTCAATTGTGTGAACCGTCTGCACTTGGGTGCACCTGGGTGTCTAGGTTGTTGACGGTTCGTGATCTTGGCAGGAGGCTCAGTACGTTTCTATTGGTTGCCAAAAGGCATGTCCAACTTATGCATAACAAGAACACTACGCTCTTGTTCGCCTTTGTTGATGTCTTTAAATCAGCAACATCATGCAACATCCGTCTCAAACCACTGGAGATGTTCCTGTCAAACTACCCCCAAAGTGGCTAGCTTGGGCATCGGCATCCCAATGGAACGACGGCAATGACAGCAACCCCCTTGGACTCAAATCCCTCTGGCTCTGGTGCATCCCCTCTGCACTAGATGGTGCAAAAGGAATGCAAAGGAGATGATCGAATCTCACCTTGGCTCCGCACAAAGGAACTCAAACGCTAAGGCCATGAGGGAGCAGACTCTAGACAGAAAAAACAACAACAACACCTGTTCTGTTCTGTTCTGCGCCCCTTTCACCTCTATCACCTAATTCCCACCCTTCATGATGCCCACATCCAGCGTACCTCCGCGCCGAAAACGGGAGGCGCGGTCCCTGGCATCGACCTCCATCTCACCGTCCAGGCAGCCCCCTAGCAACGCCTCGCACCAGATCGGTGTGGTGGTGGCGACGAGGCGCCAGGGACTCAGGGACTCGGGACGTCCTCATCTTCCACTGGCGCCGCCGCGAGTTGTTGCGACTCATGCTTCGAGATGCCGCGACCAGACTTAGAGAGGCTAGCCTCTGGGTACCTTTCTGGTAATTTCGGTGCTTTGATCCTACTAAGGTCACCAGGAGCTCTTTTAACAGGGTTAGGCGGACCCTACACACTCAGCTGCCTTCGCCGAAGCTCTGCGCACTGCTGCTGGCCTCCACCGCAGTCTCCCAACTGAGAGATCTACGTCACAAGCAGGACCGTAGGTCTGGCAACTAGAGCATTTCCACACATGAATCTCGCCCGATCTTTGAGATAAAAGAAAAACTATAGAGATCCATCCCACCAAAAAAACCTTTGCTTGCAAGCGGCTGTTGTTGAACCCAGCAGGCGGCAGCGCCCAAACTCACTTGTAAGTTCACAGTTCGCGACCTACCGGCTCAGCTTGACTTTGTGCGGGTTGCGCACAGCAGGGCTGACTCTATTGCACTCAGGCTGCAGGAGAAATAAATATATAATAGAATTGTCGGAAATGATGCGATGCCTATAATATGCACACATACAGTAAATGTACGGCGTCCCCCTCGCGCACATGGATTTCAATCAGTTTTGTCTCATTTGTGATGACGCACGCCAGTTCTTCAGCCTGTCCAAGATGCAGCTGAACTGACTCACAGAACTGCTCATTGGTTTCCTGGGCGTCTTTGAGGAAACCAAAAATTGGTACCCTGGCCTGTGCAGGGTGCATCAAAGCGAACTAGTTACACAAATGTTTGGATGACATGCGATTCCTTCCCTTGCCCTTGCCGTTGCGATGTGAAGCTTTTTGAGGCACCACCGCCACCAAAGCTACCACAAAACCCATCACGAGAAGCGCCAACACGATCAGTGCACACCACCCCATCCAAGGAAGCCACTGGTACTTCAACGTCATGTGATTCAAGTCCTCGCTTGACTGGACCAACTGTTTCTGCACCTCGTTGTACTTCTGGGTCATCTGGTCCGCGATCTGTTGCGCCTGCTGGTGTGTGGCTTCGAGAGTCTTGAGGCGTTCGGCCATCTGGCCCATGTCCCTCCGCATTCGGATCAGGGCCACAGACAACGTCCAAATCACCGCAGCGGACGCCCAGCCCCACATCCTCACGATCGAACGTCCTTCTCCGAGCGGCGGAGGCTGCCAGGTCTGGCGATCGAAGGTCGGAAGGTCTTGGAGAGCTGACCAAGGCAACTGGTCCGTGGCGGTGCTCCCGTTGAGGCCGCCCAAGCCCGAAACCTGCTTCCCACAAGCGGCGGCCACTGTGCAACAGGCCTTCTTGAACAACCGCAAGGTGGAGTCATTCTCGGGGAACTTCTCGCAGTGCTCCCTGACACTGCTTACTATGCCCTTGGCGAAGGCCTTTTGCCAAAGGTGGCAAAATTCCTCAGAACGCAGCTGGCTGTGCAACACTTGCCGCAGCCGCGCACTCAACTCCTCCACTCCTTGGGGATCGCCTCCTGGCGGGAACCGTGTGGAGAGTGGCTCTTCCACTTCTGCCCCTGTCTCTTGGAAGGCCTTCTTGGCGAGGTCTTTGATTGTGGACAAGAGCTCTGGCAACTCCTCTGGCTGCTGTGTATCTGCCATGGTGGCAACCGGAAGAACTTTGATGGGAAAGCGCTTGTCAAACTTCAGCTCCTGCAATTCCTCACTCATCTTCTTGGCCTCCTTCATCTGAAATTGGCGGATTGCTGAAACTGGGACGCAGAAAACTATGATGTGAGGCGTGTGCTCTGAGACTAAGGTCTTTTCTTTCAAGATCGACTTGTATTGCGATTTGATGTTGGTGCTGGTGTCATGGTTCCATCCTGGCGTGTCGATGAGCACAAAATTCAGATCATCCGTAAGCCCCTCCAGTTGGAGATCACAAGCTTGCGCCTGCACCGTTCTGTTCTTCAGGTGGGGGCCAGCTGGAACACTGGGTTTAAACTTCTCACCACCCAAAGCCTTCACCAAGGTGGTCTTGCCAGCACCAGCGGGACCCAAAACCACGCAGCTGTGTGTGAGGATGAGCTGAAAGGGAACCTTCACCACATCCTTGATGAAGTGAGGCTGTGCTTCAAACACTCGCGTCTCTTGAAACCCATCCGCCACAAGCCTTTCGATCCTCTCAAGTAGCCTCGGAATCTCCGGGTCTTCCACAAACACCGCCGTTGAACTATCGGAGACCGAGGCCACAGCAGCACTGCTTGGCACGTCCGATGCTTCCACCGCAGCCCGGCCCACGGGAAGGAGAGGCTCCAAGTCCTGAGAGCCCTCCCCTCCGTCTGCACCCGCCGCCTCCTCGCACCAGCTCGGGCTCAGGGAAGCCTGGCACCCGTCCACCATTCGCCACCCGGAGCTCGTCTCCGACGCCGCGGAGCTCGCGACGCCGTCCGCGTCGGAGTGGGCCGTCCCCGGCGGGGCGACGACGGGGCACGGCGCCGGCGCGGGAGGAGGAGCCATCGGAGAGCAGGAAACCGGAGCCGCGGCGGGGGAGCTTGGTGCGCTGGGAAACTGGTTGCGGAGGCCGGAGGAGGTGCATGTTGTGCTTGGACGTGGCGGAGCTGTCATGAGGTCAAGCAACGCCAACAAAGCGTGGCAAGCTCTTGCACAGCTTCCGGTCTAGTGTCGCCAGAGTCATGTAAAGAATGCTGCATCTCTCTTCCTGAAGTTGCACAGCATGTTGCACTCACATCACCTGTCCAAAACTTTCTCAGGAAAACAATTGTGCATCCCTTGCCTTCTGAAAGGACACGAACAGGTGCCTCACCTTGGCTGATGCACTGCTACCGTGCAAGGGAATGTCCCATGATGCGAATCCAAAAATGTGCTTGGAAGAAAAGGATCCCGCTGTGTTTCTGTCACCTACTGACACAGGGCACAGTAAGTATTCGCATGGATCGGCTGTCTAGTATCTCTCACCTACCATGACCATGCCATTCACCTGCAGCAATCACCACCCCACAAAGCTTCCTCCCTTTTTCTCCTTTGGCTCCGCCCGATCCGGCGTGCACTCGGATCCGTCCGGTGCAGGGGTAGCGCTCAATAGCACAGAGCTCCAGACCGAAGCGGCAAAGCCATCCTCTCAGTTTGAACCGCCACTGCCATTCAAAAAGGATCAGGCAAATATCACACAAAGAAAAACCTGGTATCCTGGAGGCTTCGCCAGGTTCCACTTCATTCAGCCCACATCAGGCAAAATCCTGTAGCTCCGCACCCTATGCTGGAGCTATGCAAGCTGGGCCCCGTTGGCTTCTACTTGACAGTTCCAGACCCTGAGAGCTTCGCCTCCGAAAGCCCCCTCTTAGCGACTTCCGCCCGCAGCGCCGGCAAAAGCTTCAGCACGTCTGGCTCCAGATCCTTCAACAGTTCCACGGCCGAAAAGCACTGGGCAAAGTGTTGAGGAATCATATCAGGAACTGCATTTGGAAGTCGGGCCACGAGAGCTGGCAAGATCTGTCGGACACTATCGAGTGCAACATCCTTCAATTTCCCTGCTGCCCAGAAGCAGTTGGACAACTCTTGAGTGTTCATTGCGCCAGCGTTGCCTGGAATCTGCACAGAAAGCGCAGGAACAATTTGCGCCACATCAGGCACTACATCCTTCAACCTCGCCGAGGCCCAAAATGAGTTGGACAACTCTTGGGGGTTCATGCCGCCCACCTTGCCACGCATCTGGGCCGCAAGCATAGGAACAATTGCTTTCACATCTTTGAGTGCCAGATCCCTCAAATGCGCTGATGCCCACAAGGAGTTGGACAATTCTTGAGGGCTCATGTCACCGGCCTTCCCTGGAACCTGAGTTGCAAGAGCCCCCACAATCTTCCTGACATCATCTGGCGCTACGTCTTTCAGCTTCGCTGCAGCTACAGTAGCAAACTGTTGGACAAATCTTGTCCATTCATGCTGCGCGCTCTTGCAGGAAATAGCTTCACCATGTCTGGGATTAACTCTGTCACTGTGGGGAGTGCGTCAAGCAGGATTGGCATTGCCCAAAACAAATTTGCAAAAGCCCATGACTGCATTTGCTTCTGCTTGATGAAGTCCTTTGTCCGTGCTTGCAGTCTCTCAAGTGCGGGGCTGTTGGCACAACCTGGCTGCAGTGAACCTTTGACCTGCGCAAAGCCTTCCAGTTTGTGGTAGGCTGTCGATGCATGGATTGGATCCAAGAACGTCGCATCCACCTTCCCATCCAGAATGCCAATCAACTCATTTTCTGAGGTAGCGCCCTTGATTCTGGAGTTCAAACGTCTGACCTCGCCTTTGGAGTCATCTGGTTGATTGGATCTGGACATGCTGCCCAACCTCTCGCGCACCTGCAAAGGTGTCCGAAGCACATGCCTGCGTGCGAAGGCTGGTCGCCCTGCCAGAATGAAGTTGGGAGGTGTGGCTGCAGCACAATTAGCAACAGCAGCCAACATGAGGAAGAATATCAGCAAGCATCCCACAAGCTTTCTGAAGTAGCGACTCCAGTGCCATGTCAGCTTGCCACCTTTCCCTCCCAGTCCAACCAAGCGCGACATGGCAGATGGATGCAGCTCCAAGTGGTATGGAGTGGCGATTAGTGGGGGGCTGCATGGCATATCCTGGTTGACCAGTGAACATGAACAGAATAGATCATCAGGGAGGTGAACCGACCTACCGGGGTTTGGAGCTCCAGGAGTTGACCCACTGCCATCTCTTCCGGCTTTCTGCCAGGTGCCGCTACACTACTGCGTGAATCTTAACACTGTTGAGTGATCAGAACACATTGCAAGCAGCTTGAGACTGGGCGGCCCGAACTTGTCCGATGAATACCGTCTGTACGATCAAACATGCACTTTGCAGTTGCATCAGCGGATCGGCTAGCAAAGTGTTGGTCATTGGTCACCTGGATGCAGCTCCCTGCCAACCAAAGATCACATCTTTGGGGCATTCTCTCCTACAACTTGGTGCCGGGCCGGCCCAGCGAGCGCGAAGCAGCGACCAGCGGCGCTGTGGTCGCAGTAGCGTGCCAAAGTCAGTGAAGAAACTCATGGCACCACCTGACGGGTAAGACCATAAAATTGCAAGTTCCCTGGTTGTGGTTAGAGTGGTTAGGAGGAGGGACAGGGTTGACATCCAATTCGCACCACTGTCGGCACTTGGCACGCTCCTGAAGGAGTTCTATGCAGAATTTGGTCCATCAAAACCGCATGGTTCGACAGAAGATAAAAGCCGCCTTGACCAAGTGAAAGCTGATTGATGTTGGTTCAGGATGCTTCAGGGGGTATCAAATTTGAGCTGGGGCATCAACCTCATGCTGCCTGTCATTTTGATGATGAGTTGAATGATTGAATGGGATGTGCAACAACTTCACTGCTCTTGAAAATCTACATTCACGGTTTTATATAACTCCATCATGCTGAGTTAGCACAAACAACATGAAATATAAACCAACTCAATCTCTTGAACTGCAAAGTGGTCCCTAATTACAGTATACTTTATACATATACTAACAAATACTCCTGGATATGTCATGCTGTGTCTAAGGGGTCACCCGCCCACATGAAACACGTGAAGCGTTGGAAACACGTCTCGAACTCGCTCCGCATCTCGCCCTGGGCTCTGCAGTGAGGCGCCTGGACCCCATCTGTGCCGAGATCTGGACCTGGAGGCACCGGCGGTGGAGGCACCGGTGGTGGAGGCCCATGATCCACTCACTTAGGCACCATCCCCCCGTTTCGAGCTTCTGGTTGAGGGACTGATGCTCGCACTCCACCGGTGCAGGCTCAGCAAAAACACCGGTTTCCCAACTTCCCGGCACTTTTGGGAGTGAGAATGGAGAACAACAAAATGCACTGGCGACAACCATACAAAAACAAAAACGATTAAAAAAAACAGCATGTCTGCGCTGTGTGGGTGTGCGTGTCGCAAGGCCGCGAAGCCTGCAAAGCAGACCTTTCTGAGCTATAGAAACTCTTTCAACTGAATCGCGTCCCAGCCTCCCGAGCACCGATTCCAGTCACCTCAAAGTGAACCAGACATTCACGACTATCGGGGACCGATGCCTTCAGACCCCGTGACCGATGCTTGTCACAGCGCACAACATGGACACTAATGGACACTAAGAAATCACAGCCAGGCTGGGCACTAATGGGCTCGAGGCCATCGACGTCTGCTCAAGTCGGCAAAAATGCGCTCCTTGTTGTAGGCTCAAGTCTTTTTCGATTTTCTTGTGTGGTCTGTACACACCTCTCCGAGACTGCTCCGGCCGCAAAACGCAAGAGCTCCTGCACTCGGCCCTGGGCGGTGCACTTTGTGGACCCAGCACTCTGCACCAGATGGTGCCAGGACTTCTGAACAAGCCTGCCTTTGCAATCAAAGACCAACTCTTCAAAAACTGCAGCAAGGCAACACTGCTCTCACAAAAGAAGCCGCTCATTTGTCACCTGCAAACCCCTCATAGTGCCCATCCTTGCTGCGCTCCACATCTGATTCCGACAGCCCTCTCCGTTCAATTTCCACTCGCAAGGCCTTCTGAAAGTCTATGAACTGCCCAGTTGCATCCAACATCTGGTAGGACCAGGTCAAGGCACAAAGGTCCCAATCTGGGAGCTGCGATGAGGAAAGCTCTGCACTTGATCCAAAGCGCCGGGCCACGGCTCTCAGCAGCGGCTGCGAGGGCAGGCCGAACCTGCTGCAAGCCGGCACTGTTAAAGCTAGGTCCTTTCCACGAAGTGTCGGGGTCATGTCACTGATGCAGTGGGCTGCCAGTTGCACGAAAGCGTCTCTGCTAGCAGAAACTTCTTTCGAGTACTCTTGCTTAGGCACATCCTGAAGAAGAACAAGTCCTTGCAAGCTGTTGGCGATTTCCTGTGGGCTCATAACACCCGCCTTGCCTGGAAGCTGGACAGCTACCGAAGTTAGGATCCGTGCGGCATCATCTTGTGCCAGATCTTTCAGCTGGCCTGCTGCAAACAAGCTGCTGGACAGGTGCTGAGGATTCATGCTATCTGCAATGCTTGCAATGTGGGCCACGCTTGCCTGCACTAACTTTAAGACGTCATCAGGTGCCAGATTCTGCAACTGGGCTGAAGCCCATAAGTTGTTGGACAAATCTTGTCCATTCACAACATCATCGACTCCAATCTGGCCAGCCAGTGCTGAAACAATCTTTCTCACATCGTCTGGAGCCACATCTTTCAGACGAGCCGCTGCCCACAAGCAGTTGGAGAACTCCTGGGGGTTCATGCCAGCAGCTTTGCCTGGGATTCTAGAAGCCAAAGCTGGCACGATCTTGACCGCATCATCACGCGCCACATCCTTCAACTGCACTGCTGCCCACAAGCAGTTGGACAAGTGTTGAGGAATCATGTCACTAACCTTGCCTGGGATTTGGTCACAAATTGACGGCGCGATTTTTGCTACAGCATGAGGCGCCACATCTATCAAGTATGCAGACGCCCACAAACAATTGGACAACTCTTGGGGGTTCATGCCATCAGCTTTGCCTGGGATTCTGTCAGCAAGCACAGCTGCAATGTTCATTCCTTCCTCTGGTGCTACACCCTTTAATTTCAACCGCGCCGCTGACAACAAGCAGTTCGACAACTCCTGCTCAGTCATGCCGCTAGCCCTTGCTCCAAAAGACTTGACCAAGTTCGGAAGAAGCGATACCACAATTGAAAGCTCATTTCCAAGAATTGCAATGGCCCAAAGCAAATTTGCAGATGCCCATGACTTGACTTGATTTTGTTTGAGAAAGTCCTTCATACGAGCGTTCAGCCTCAGAAATGCCGGGTTCACCGCACAAATTGGCAGCGAACCTTCGGTCTGCTTGAATGTTGCTAGCTTATGAAAGGCCGTTGATGCGTGGATGGGGTCAAAGAACGGGGCATCCACCTTCTCCTCCAAAATGCCGATCAACTCTGCCTCGGAGCCAGCTTGCTTGAGTCTGGAGTTCAACTGTCTGACCTCGTCCTTCAAATCATCTGGCTTCTGATTCTTCGATTTGGGCCTGGACAAACTGCCCAGCCTCTCACGCACCTTCATGGTGGTCCGGAGCTCAGCACGCCTGGCCTGCACCTCGTGCGATCCACAAAAGCTGTCTAGAAGCAGCGTATTGGAAGACAGTGCCCATGTCAAGCAGGACATCAACAGGCATCTTGCAGCTCTTGCCCTGCAGGCGGTGACTATTCCTCTTGGCAGCGCAACGGAATTGGGCATGACTGGAACGTGGTAGCTGTATAGCGAGCTGAGGTCTTCCTTTGCACTTTCTGGTCTTGCTAGGCCTGAGCGTCTGGTTCTGGACAGTTCTGATGAAAAGTGCTGACGCAAGATTAAGATTGAGGAAACATGCCACGCGGCACCCATCTATTTGCAATTGCTATGGGGCCAGCTAGGAGCCACAAATACAAAAGAATAATCATCAACATAGCAGGAGGGAGTGAGCAAACAACGCTTCCTGTGCGCTTCACGGTTCCATGTCGGGCTCCCCGCCTTTTGCACCGCCTCACCCTGGCGATGGACCCATGCTTCAGAGACAAAGATAGACAAAGCATGAAACAAAAAGCACTCCCCGGTCACCATACTGAGGGTCTCAATGGATGGACCGTGGGCGACCCGCGTGCCCCCTTCCCAAAGATGTACTATACAATGCTATGTGTAGTGTAATGTAACAGCCGCTCAGTTCCCTCGATGCTATGTTCATCCATTTTCTCTGATCTATCGCCTCAAGCGGGCAGCAGCAGCAGCAACAAGGGCTCCTGCACTCGGATCCAGGTGGTGCACTTTGAAGACCCAGCACTCTGCACAAGATGGTGCAAGGATGGTCCTTGAAACATGCCAGAAACCCGCGGCTCAACAAGCCTCTAAAACCTGGACAAGCGCCACAGGCAGCCTCATAGGCTCATAGGATTGTGCAGATTGCCAACATGGCCAGGCCTGCTCCCTAGCTTCAGCCTGTCTGCTTTTCGGTCTGTCCAGTCTTCTCAAGGTAGCTTGTCTGACTACCCTCCACATCCGATTCGGACAGCCCCCTCTTCGCAACTTCCGCTCTCAGGGCCTTCTGAAAGTCTCGAAATTGCATAGTCAGGTCCAGCTTCTGGTAGGACCAGGTCAAGGCGCAAAGGCCCCAGTCACTGAGAGTTGAAAGCGTTGTTTTTCCAAAGCGTCGGGCCACCGCAGTCAGAAGTGGCTGGAAGTCTAGCCCGGTCCTTCCGCAAGCCCAAACGGTCAGAGGCACTGCCAAATGCAGGTCGTTTCCACTCAAATTTGGAAGCAAGTCACTGACTTTTGAGGCAGCTGCTTTCAAGAAATTGGTCTGAGAGGTTGTTTGAAGCAATTCCCGCGCCTCCGGAACAGAATCCTGAAGGACCACAAGTCCGTGCACGCTGTTGGCAAGTTCATGTGGATTCATAGCATCAGCTTTGCCTGGCAGCTTGGCACTGAGTGCTGGGAGGATCTTCACTACATCAGGTACCACTTCCTTCAAGTGAGCTGATGCCCACAAGCAGTTGGACAAGTGCTGGGGAATCATGTCATCCACTTTGCCCGGGATTTGAACAGCAAGTGCTGGCACGATCCTCATTACATCATCAGGTGCCACATCCTTCAACTGAGCCGATGCCCACAGGCAGTTGGACAAAGCTTGGGGGATCATATCATCCACCTTTTCTGGGATTTGTATTGCGAGGGCTGGTATGATATTCAATACGTCATCAGGCACAGCATCCTTCAAGTGCGCAGCTGCCCAAAAACAGTTAGATAACGCTTGGGGATCCATGCTGTGGGTCTGTAAGGAAAGTCCTCTGGCTATGTCTGGACTGAGCTGTGTCACCACTGGGACTGCATCAAACAAAACGGCCACGGCCCAGAAGACGTTGCCAAGCTCTCGTGGCCCGACCTTGCTTCGCTTGATGAAGTCCTGAAGCAGAGCGTTCAGCTTAAGCAAAGCAGTACTTTCTGCACAACCTGATGGCAGCGAGCCCTTCATCCTCCGAAATGTAGCCAAGGTGTGGTACACTGCTGCTGCATGAATGTAATCAAAATATGGGGCATCCACGGTCTCATCCAGAATGCCCATCAACTCAATGGCCGAGCGAGCTTCCTTGATTCTGGTGGTTAAAGCTTTGACCTGGCCCTTTGAATCACCTGTCTTCGAATTGCTGGTCTTCCGAGACAAACTGCCCAAGCGCTCACGGACCTTCGTCGCTGTCTGCCAGCCACGACCGTTGCGTGACTCGACTTGGCCTAGGCCTAGGCCCTCGATGAAGGCGAGATGGACTCTTTCGCAAGGCCATGCCAACCACACCATCAGCAGGCATGCTGCAAGCCTGGCCAGAGACCTGCTGGGTCTAGGTCTTCTTGAGCTCCCACATGAATTGGTCATGGCTGCAAACACGAAGGAAGGTGAGTGTTCCCTTTTTAATGTCTGGATGGTGTCAAAAGCGCGCTTGTTGTCATGGGTCAGAACTGTTCTGGGCTTTCTGTGCTATCGCCTGTCGCTTGTTGCTCATTTGATTCACTGAAGCAGTGCTGTCGGATGACTGCACAGGCCATGAATGGAGTGTGGAAGGTCAGCCTGTCTGAGCACTCACAAGCACTAGGCAATCCCCTCCTATACTGAATGGGCGTCAAGTTCATTGGCGGAGGCCGGCATGGGCGGCATGGGCGCTCATCTACCTGTCCTGCTACGAAAGGATGTCTGAGTCGTGAGTGTACACACCCTGAAAGTGTGGGGCAGCTAGATGTATACAAGCTAGTACCCAAAGAGTGCAACAGAAATGGACTCGAGAATAAAGTGTAGAGCAGCCACCCAGCCAGCCTTTCATCTGTCCCTCCCACCTATCCGGCTGAGTTTCCAGCCCAGCTATCCAGCTAGCAGCAGCACTGGTGTTCGTTCACCTCAGTGTGAACACACATCATCACAAGCTGCGACCGATTGATTGCTTGGCCCAAAAATATGTTCATCATCTCCAGAAAGCACATGAAAGCCTGCGAAAAACTCATGTTCCAGCCGGCACAAATGAGCCGCGCGCATTGGCTCAATTGTTCGATCCTTTTAGTTGCCAAGACATAGATTCGTCACTCAACGTCTTTCAATTTCTACTTCCAAAATAGAAGTGCCGGCAGCAATGCGCAACGGCTCCTGCACTCGAACCTGGGCGGTGCACTGTGTGGACCCAGCACTCTGCACCAGATGGTGCCAGGAACGTCGCCGAGCAAACATAGCCGGACACTCGGGCACCAAGTAGCACTGGCTATGTAAAACTGTCGCGCCAAGGTGGCTCGGCCTGTGCAAACGCACTGCTCTACTTGTCACCTGCAAATTCGGCATACTGACCGTCCTTGCTGCGCTCCACGTCCGAGTCCGACAGCCCTCTTCGCACAACTTCCGCCCTCAGCGCCTGCTGAAAGCCTCCGAAGCGCCCTGTCTGATCCAGCGTCTGGTAGGACCAGGTCAAGGCACACAAATCCCAATCAGGGAGCCGTGATGACTGCCCATTGGATCCAAAGCGCTGGGCCACTGCAGTCAGCAGCGTTTGAGAGGACAATCCGGACTTGGCACAAGCCCAGACTACTACCGGCACGGCCAAGTACAAGTCACTACCCTTCAACCTGGGCAGCATTTCAGTGATGTGTGAGGCAGCCAACCTCAAGAAACGCTCCTTGCTGCCAGCAGGGGCTGTCAGGCGTGAACCTACTTCAGGCGCAAAATCCTCAAGGAAGACCAGCCCCTGCAAGCTGTTGGCAAAATTCTGCGGACCCATGGCCTTGGCTTTGCTCGGCAACTCCGCAAGAAGAACTGGCACGATCTTGACCGCATCATCACGCGCCACATCTTTCAACTGTCCTGCTGCCCACAAGCAGTTGGACACGTGTTGAGGAATCATGTCACTAACCTTGCCTGGGATTTGGTCACAAACTGCCGGCACGATTATTGCTACAGCATCAGGCGCCACATCTATTAAGTTTGCGCATGCCCACAAGCAATTGGACAACTCTTGGGCGTTCATGCCATCAGCTTTGCCTGGGATTCTGTCAGCAAGCACAGCAGCAATGTTCATTGCTTCCTCTGGTGCTACACCCTTTAATTTCAACCGCGCCGCTGACAACAAGCAGTTCGACAACTCCTGCTCAGTCATGCCGCTAGCCCTTGCTCCAAAAGACTTGACCAAGTTCGGAAGAAGCGATACCACAATTGAAAGCTCATTTCCAAGAATTGCAATGGCCCAAAGCAAATTTGCAGATGCCCATGACTTGACTTGATTTTGTTTGAGAAAGTCCTTCATACGAGCATTCAGCCTCAGAAATGCCGGGTTCACCGCACAAATTGGCAGCGAACCTTCGGTCTGCTTGAATGTTGCTAGCTTATGAAAGGCCGTTGATGCGTGGATGGGGTCAAAGAACGGGGCATCCACCTTCTCCTCCAAAATGCCGATCAACTCTGCCTCGGAGCCAGCTTGCTTGAGTCTGGAGTTCAACTGTCTGACCTCGTCCTTCAAATCATCTGGCTTCTGATTCTTCGATTTGGGCCTGGACAAACTGCCCAGCCTCTCACGCACCTTCATGGTGGTCCGGAGCTCAGCACGCCTGGCCTGCACCTCGTGCGATCCACAAAAGCTGTCTAGAAGCAGCATCTTGGAAGACAGTGCCCATGTCAAGCAGGACATCAACAGGCATCTTGCAGCTCTTGCCGTGCAGTGGGCTGTGACTATTCCTCTTGGCAATTCAATGGAATTGGGCATGGCTCGAAGTAAGCGGCTATAAATATATGTGCAGCGCGAGCTAGGACTAGGAGGAAATCTTTCTTGGTAGCGCCGGGGCGTATGCTTCTGACGAAATTGCTGATGCATAATTAAGATTTTGAGGAAACATGCCACGTGGCACCCCATCTATTTGCAATTGCTATGAGGCCAGCTAGGAGCCACAACTCAACAAGAAGAATCATCAACACCCGAAACAGAGCAGGAGGCTGTGTGCTTCACGGTTTCATGTTGAGTTCCCCACCTTTTTCGCCGTCTCGCCCTGAAGGACCCAAGCCTCAGAAACAAAGCATGAAGAAAAAATACATAAAAATACACCCCCTCCACCCACCATCGTGAGGATCTCAATGGATCGAGCGTGAGCGGCCCGCGTGCCCCTTCCCAAAGATGTGCTACCAGTATATGTAAGAGGTGCTCAGTTCCCTCCATACGTCTCTGATCTATTGTTAGGTCTTCTCTAAAACGATGCGCTCGCCCTCGTTTTAGGGCACCGGCAGCAACAAGGGCTCCTGCACTCGGATCCAGGTGGTGCACTTTGAAGACCCAGCACTCTGCACAAGATGGTGCGAGGAGGGTCCTTGAAACATGCCAGAACCCCGAGGCTCTCCAAGGCTAGAGGACCTGGACAAGCGCCAAAGGCCGCCTCATAGGCTTATGGGATTGCGCAAAAAGCCACCATTGCCAGGCCTGCTCCCAGTGTTTAGCCAGCCTGCTTTTGGGCCTGTCCAGGCCATTCAAGGTAACCCTCCTTGCTACGCTCCACATCCGATCCGGACAGCCCCCTCTTCGCAACTTCCGCTCTCAGGGCCTTCTGAAAGTCTCGAAATTGCATGGTCGGGTCCAGCGTCCGGTAGGACCAGGTCAAAGCGCAAAGGCCCCAGTCATTGAGAGATGAAAGCGTGGTTGTCGACAGTTGTCGATCCAAAGCGTCTAGCCACAGCCTTCAACAGGGGTTGGAAGGGCAGGTCTGACCTTCCGCAAGCCCAAACGACTGTGGGCACAGCCAAACGCAGGTCGCTTCCTCTCAACTTGGGAAGCAATTCGGTGAATGTTGACGCAGCTGCTGGGACGAGCTCAAAGATTGCCTGCGGCGCCATATCCTCCAATTTTGCCGCTGCCCACAAGCAGTTGGCCAACTCTTGCGGCTTCATGCCATCAGCTTTGCCTGGGATTCTGCCAGCAAGCGCCGGCGCAATCTCGACCACATCATCAGGCGCCACTTCCTTCAATTGCGCCGCTGCCAAAAGCAGTTGGCCAACTCTTGCGGTTTCATACTATCAGCTTTGCCTGGGATTTTGGCGGCTAGCGCAGGCATGCTCTTGACCACATCATCAAGTGCCACGTCTTTCAACTGCGCAGTTGCCCACAAGCAGTTGGACAGTTCTTGGGGTGTCAAGTCATCGGCCACATACGGAATCTTGGCAGCAAGTGGTGAGATGATCTTCACAACATCATCCGGCAACTCATCCTTTAACTGAGCTGATGCCCACATGCAGTTGGACACATCAAAAGCGTTCATCCTGCGTGCCAAAACTGGAAACGCAGCAACAATGGCAGGAAACAACTGGGTCATCCCAGGGATTGCATCAAGTAAATACGCTGCCGCCCACAAGACGTTGGCAAACTGCCGGGGCCCGATCTTGATTTCCTTTATGAAGCCCTTCAAGCGACCATTCAACTTGAGGAGAGCAGGGCTCCCAGCGCAGGCTACAGGCAGAGAACCCATCTTCTGCTTAAACTGTGCCAGGCTGTGGTAAACCGCTCCTGCATGGATACAATTGAAGACAGGGCTGTTCACCTCCTCATCGACAAGGCGGATCAGCACGTCCACTGACCCAGCTCCCTTGATCTTGGATGTCAGGGCTTTCGCCTGGGCGTCAACATCAGCCGTATTTGGAGCAATCGTTTTTCGGGATAAACTGCCCAACTTCTCGCGCACCCCCATAACAGTGCGCAGCTCACGGCCGTTGCGTTGCACTGGCCCCGGCCAGTGCAGGAAGCTCAAAGGGACTCCTGCGCAAGCCAACCACGGCAGCAAGCATCCTGCAAGCCTCCGTGAACGGCCAGACATGGCGACAAGTCGGATTTCTTTGATGCCCGTCACATGCACGAATTTATATGCCTGGACTGACCTTAGGAAGTTGTGTTTCTACATGGTGCGACATGGCAATAGGTGATTCGTCACCCGATCACACTGATAAACTCGCGGCTTGGATTGCTGTCTGACTGCGGAAGCCATGCTGGCCTTGAGGCACTTCTTGTCCACACGGTCCCAGAGTGAACGATCAAAAAGCTGCGGACGATGAGAACTCTCTCCTTCTTAAAACTCTCTGGAGAGCATTTGAGCAAAACAGGCCTTCCAAGTGCACCATTGGACCACGTCAACGATCCAGTGACTCCGGCGACCGGCGCCCCATCCGGGGCTCGGCTTCAGCACGCACCCCGCTGTTTGGAAACGCAAAGAATCTGAAAGGTGATGTCTGACGTTTCCCAGAACATGAAGGCTATAGACAGGTATTCAAATCCCCATCTTCCGTTGCATGACAGGCTCGTGATATTGCCTCCAATTATGTAAACAATCGACGAAAATCCAGTGCCCAAAACCCATTATATATATATATGTATGTGCAAGCGGCAAGGGCAGTTGGCATCCACAAAAGCCAGCGCCAAAATATGCCAAAATCATGCCCGCTCCTCGTCACAGTGGCCATATGTCTCAACGCGAGAGGAGGGCAACCAGCAGAACGATGACTGGGAATCCCGGCTTATCTTCACACATCGAATGAGGCTCGCTTAGGGCTTGGCTTGGGACATCTAGGGTGGTGGCAACATGGTGCAGGATGCTCAACGGAACCCTACAACAGAGATGTGATGTTAGTGTATCAGAAACAAGTGAATTGCTCCAAAGATGGTGCCACAGTAAGCACGAGAGGTGTGGGGCGAAGTGGGGACAAATGATAAAGGCTTCGTCTCCAAGGCTTCCCTCCTTCACTCCGAGCTCCCCAGCCAAAGGCCGGGACCAAAGCCAAAGGCCGGGAACCAAACGCAGCTCACCTCCGCACGCGACGACGAAACCGGGCTCCATGTTTCTGTGGAACAAATATCGACAGGAGTCACAGACGCGGCACAAAAGATTCGTCAGAAAATATCAGAAAAATGAAAATCGCACGAAAGTCGAAGAGTAAATAAACCCAAATATATAATATGATATGATATGTCGTTTCTCCCTTCACGTCGAAAAGTGTGAATGCAGCGTGCCACCTCTCTCTCTATATATCACTTTGCAACGCAAAAAGCCGAACAAACCCGTCCAAATTGGTCGACACAGTGCGCTGCCGTCCCTCTTCTTCCATCAGCTTCCTCTGACCAAGTGATCAACTCTAGTTTGCCAGACACCCGTGCATCTTTTCATGAAGTGGATGGTCTTGGCACGACACAATCCCAATCAGAAAGCTTGCAAATCAAAATACTGTAAATCAAGGTATGTACATCGTGGCTGGGCCACTGGCTACATATACCTAAACGCTCCAGCCCAGTCCGGCTTTTGCTCGGACACTCTGCTAATTGAGGCAAGTGAAGTGCAGCAAGCACAAATCTCACTCTTCCCCTCAATGGGATCCGACTCAGATACAAAAGTGAATCCTGGTTGATTCACACAGTGGGTAGCACAGGTTGACAGGTCTGCAGCCAAATTAGGACCTCGATCTTCGCAAATGCAATTGGTGCCTCGCGCGCACAGCAAAGAGAAGGCGTTGGGGTCGTTCTTCGCCGACAGCTTTCCCGGACTTTGAAGTAAGCATGAGGCTTCAGAGTTCTCTGCTTCGGTGGCGCCAAGCAGGGGCAGTGACAGCATGAGGAGCAGATCTAACAAGAAGATCATGGCGACCAAAAAATCGACAAGGACTCTAGGAACTTTGGATGGTAAAGTGGCTGCAGGAAGTGCAACTTTGATAGATTCATCCTACAGCCAACCACTCGCATCGACACCTGCTTAGATCTTAATGGGGTCAACGGCAGCGTTGTCATTTGTCATACTTCAACCAACGGCACCCCAAAAAGCGGCCCATCTGCCCCACTCCCAAGGACAAACATGCAGGAGAAGCTCAGCTCAGTGTCGCGGCGCACTATTTTCTGTCTACTTATGATTTCTTATGCACTGTATGGACTTGGACTCAATCTGCTGAAAATCTATGCAACAGCGAGCGCACCAACAGTAACAAGGGCCTCCTGCACTTGGATCCAGTGGAGACCCAGCACTAGTGGATGTGATGTGTCCTTGGACGGTCACTCCTTGTCGCACCAAGCGCTGAACACATGTGTCTCGGGTCAGTGATGAAAGCTGAAGGAAAGCTAATGACTTCTTTTTGCACTGGCTGGGGCTGCGTGGGGCAAAGGAGTCAAGAAACGCTTCGCGAGGAGGCAGGCAAAGCCAAGAAATGATCAAGAACTCTGGCAGGGCAAACAAGGAGGAAGAACAAGAAGAAGGAGAAGACGAAGAGGAGGAGGAGGAGGAGGAGAAAGAGGAGGAAAATCTGAGGAAACGACTCGGTTCATTGCAAGCTCCAGCACCTCATACATCAAAGCCTCAGTCAGAGCACCCCATGCCATGGTGTTTCTCTGACAAGAACTCCAGAACGGACTTAAAAAATGCCAGAGCCGAGTGATGAACAAACATATTACAGTATAGATCTGCAAATAGATAGAGAAGTAGATCCCCACTAAACATGTACTGGAAATCCATCATCCATCTATTTGGGGACCACTCTATATATATATATATATATAGTTCAGATTCAATAGTGGACGCTTTTTCAGTCCGCAGGGCTCTGTTCGGAAGACCGGTGGTCGGACCGGTTCGGCCACGCTCCTGCACTCGGCATCTCGGCGGTGCGAGGAGTAGCTGAGTAGCCTTGAAACCTGCCAGCCCTTCAAGGCGAACTTACCAAAACTCACCCAGATTTCAGGGCCGGCGTATTTCTGGGCAGGACTATTTGATGCCAGGCCATTCAAGGTAGCCCTCCTTGCTGCGCTCCACGTCCACTTCTGCAAGGCCTCGGCGCGCGAGCTCTGCTCCCACCGCTGTCTGAAAGTCTTGGTGTTGCCCAGTCGGGTCCAGCGTCCGATAAGACCAGCCCAAAGCACAAAGCCCCCAGTCATTGAGCACCGCCAAGGTGGATGGAAAGCGGCAAGCAACGGCACTGAGCAGCGGCTGGAAGTTGAGCTGCGATCTTCCGCAGGCCCAAACAACGGTCGGGACAGCCAAGTGCAAGTCACTACCACTCAACTTGGGCAGCATGCCAGTGATTCGCGAAGCAGCTAGTTTCAAGAAGGTGTCCTTGCTGCCAGTCTGGGCTGCCAACAATGGCTGAAGCTCGGGAAAGGAATCCTGGAGGAGCATAAGTGCCCACAAGCAGTTGGAAAATTGTTGTGGGTTCATTAGGGTTCCTTTCTTTTCGATCTCGTCTACCAGTGACGGCACCATCTTCTCCACACTGCCTCCAGCCACATCCAGCAACTGAGCTGATGCCCATAAGTTTGTGGACAAGTCCTGCAAGTTCATCTTCTCAACGTTGCCTGGGATCTGCTCACACAGAGCTGGAACGATCACCTGGACATCCTTGGGCGCCAAACCCTTCAGGCGGGCCGATGCCCACATACAGTTGGAAAGAGCTTGGGGTATCATGTCACTCACCTTGCCTGGGATCCTAGCGGCCAGCGTTGGCACCATCTTCACCACATTGGGTGTCACATCCACGTCCTTCAGCTGAGCCGCCGCATAAAAGCAGTTCGATAGATCAAAGGCATTCATGCCTTGTGCCACGTGAGGAAAAGCAGAGATGAAAGCAGGGAGCAACTTGGTAGTTCCAGCGATGGAACCCGGCAAATGAGCCATGGACCACAGGACATTGGCAAACTCCCGCTGTCCGATCTTCCTCTCCGCTGTGAAGTTCAAAAGGCGTGCGTGCAGCTTGGATAAAGCTGGACTGTCCCCACAGGACGGCACTGAGCCTCTCCGTTGAAACATCGCAAGGCTGTGATAAATGGCTCCCGCATGGATGGAGTCCAAAAAGGGGCCCTCCACATTCTCATCCACAATTCTGATCAACTCATCGGCCGACCGAGCCAGCTTGATCTTGGTGGTCAAAGCTTTCACCTCGGCCTTTGCATCACTAGTCTTCGGACTTGAAGCCACTTTCTTCAATTTCCCTAACCTCTCACGCACTCTCATGGTGGTCCGCAGCTTGGCGCTGCGTGGCCGCAGCGAGCATCCTGCTCCGCCCACATAGGTCGAGTTCATAATCTGCGAGCAAATGGTGCACAACAGCCGCGCGATCAGCAAACATCCTGCTAGCCTCCCCCACGAGCTCTTCCGCTTTGCTGCTGATTGCCGCATGGCTGCAAAGACTGTTAGTTTTGTCTGCGTGCTGCCACTTGTAGAGGTTCTGAAAATGGATGGAACATGATGGAAAAATGCTCAGCACATTCTGCCAGGGAACTCATCTTCTTATTTGTTGGAGGGCCCCTATTATGTGTCGGATGGAACGTTTTGAAAGACCACCACTCTCCCCCACTCTTTAGTTTTTGGAGGCGCTGTCAGAGTCTCTGGAGCAAACATTGGATTACAGCACCGTGGAGCTACATGAGCAACAAACTGCCATGCGCAAAGGCTGCCAATGGCTGAACAGCCCCTACACCTACCGGTGTCCCCGGACAAGGAGGAGATTCCGAACCCTTGCCCCCAGCATGCAGGAGGCGCACACGTCCGGGCAGCCCACCGTGGTGCCAAGCTCGCGAGCTTGGGTTCTTCTGTTTCGTCATACCGAGCTGCCGGACCACCATGGTGTGGAAGGCATGGCAGTTGGTTCCCGGTGCCGGCCGAGCTGTTCGAGCCGGCGGCAACGGGGGAGCAGCCTTCGGTGGAGGAGGAACTGTTGGAGCTGGGCGGTGCAGGTCTGTGCACCACACACTGCCAGGCCGCAACCTTTCTGGTATGGCATCTACAAGCCTGCGCCTACTGCAAGGTGGCCTGTAAGAGTAGGGCGTTGCAGCAAATTCTGACTGCATACATGGTCAGAACATGTCAGAACGCTGCGACTAAACGTGGCACCCGGCGCGTCACACCACTCGACCCCCCTTGCCACTCGACCTCCACCTCCAGAGCCGCTGGATCGTTTTCCACAACTCTCAGGCTGTGCTTTCAGGATCGGCGGCATCTTCAGCAGCATCGTCCGCTGCCTGGCCCGCATCCTGGCAAGGACTGCAGCGACCGGCGACCGCCAGGAACGCAAAAGATCTTGGACATTTTCATATGACTGCTGCCCACCCAAAGGCTGCACCTGTTCAGTCAAAACTACAACTCATCTTCCAACCTACCGGTGGTCATGCCCATGTCATGTAAGTTGCAATTAAGCTATCAAAGCTCCAATTTGCCCTTCAGCTCACCCTCACCCTCCACCACCGGCGCAACCCCATCCTCTCTCTCGAGTGCCCTCTGGGCCCTCCGCTGCCGCTTCGACATGACCTGATGGCATCTCTCTCTAGGGAAAACAGGACTGAATCGTCATATCTGGCTGCATGGGGCCCATGGGGAGAAGCTCGAACTCTCCCAGCGGTCCTTTCCTCTTCGACTCGACGCAACCCCTCAGACACAAATTAGACATATATTATACATACTTAGAAAAAGAGCTTACGATAGCACCTTACTGTGTCCTCAAATGTCGTCCCTCTCCTGGGCCTTTGACCACAGAAGTGGTGCATCTTTCGAACCGCCATAGTCACGTGTCAACAAGTGACTTAAGTGTCCAAGCTCGTGCATCCTTGACCCTTCATACCAACGGAGATGTTTTTCAGAACCCTAGTTCGACGACTATTCCTATAAATAGACTATGCCGGGCTATGCCGGGTCCTTTTTCAGGTCACTTCACCTCTCTTGGATAGTCTTGAGCCTCCCGGTTCAGGGCCCCACTTCCCGCTTCGACCCACCTCCCGGTTCTCCGCCCAGCGACCGGGCGCTCGCCCAAGCGCCGCCCTGGAAGACACTCCTCGAAGACGCTGGGCCTCAAAACCAGCGAGGTGCGAGATGAAGTGAAGTGATATCAAGGGCTGGTGTTTTGTGAACCACCCTAGGCATTGAAGGCTGTGGCTGTTGCTGTTGCTGTTGCTGTTGCTGCTGCTGCTGCTGCTGTTGCTGCTGCTGCTGCTGTTGTTCCAAGCAGCTCCACCTGGAAGGCGGTCTTGGGGCAGTCCATGGACCGACCCCTCCTTGGGTGGCCTTTGTGTCTCAGACCTCGCCCCACACTCTGAGCTCCCCTGACCAATCCCTCTTCCGCAGCCACTCACAAAGGATGCGGACCTTGGATTCCGGAAAGTGGCACGCGACTGGGCAGAGATAATTGGGCCCCAAACTAGTCCTCGGCCCTTGCACCCCTCATTCTTTTGGCTCTGCCAGGGGTAGCCAAGTAGGATCAATGTCAAATGTAAAAATATATATATATTATTTAAAAAAAAATATATATATATATACTATATATATATATAAACGGTTCAGTTGACAGTGGAAAGCTGGACAACTCTTTTTCCTCCGAAGCCTACTTGCCTGCGCATCCGACACACCGCTGAGCCTCCAGGAGGCTCAGGCGGTCCGTTCTTTCGTCGCCCCACCGCGGCACAGGTGTCCAGCGCGGGCTCCGCGCGGATCCAGGCGATGTCGCCGTGGAACATGAACTCTTTGTACAGCCCTAAGCCGGTGGGCACGATGAAAACGGGCCGATCTTGTGATGAAAACAGCCCATCATCTCCAGCACCTGCAGGCAAGAGTCTGCACTCAAACACTGAATGCAACCTTTTTGGGAGGTTGTTGGAACAGGGATGTCCAGGCTCCCAGTCACACCCGGTAGCTGCTTACATAGACAGACGGAAAGAGAGGTTTATATTTGTATAAATAAGATCCCCATCCCATATCGTGAAATGAAAAAATCTCGTCTAACATCATCCCTGGGCAGGCTTCTTCTTTCATGGCCAGGCCTGAGTTGAAAGAGAGCTAGGATGAGGCAGGTCAGGCCCATCAGGACGAGTGCCTGGCAAAAGCATGCTTTTGGCGCAAATGAGGTGTGTCAGTGTACTTGGGACCACGGACCTGCGCATCAATGCGTCCGGACATCCGTTCTGAGAAAATCTCTTGAGCTCATTTACACGATGTGGGCGAAATGATGTTCCACACATGACGCTTGAATCAGTGATGGCGGCACACCCCGGGCGGCAAACCCGGGCAGCTCACAACCCCCCAACCGGGCGTCCCCCACGGCGGCTTCACGCTTCCCGCCGCAAAGCTTTTGGACTACAGTCCAGGCATCCAGGTCCTGCCCAAACGCTCAAGGGAGCCCTGCAGGGCCACCGACCCAGAAGCCCTCCCAGACCCCCTGCGGGCTCAAGGGGCTCGAGAAACCGCCGGTCCACGGTCATTGACTGGCATATCAGAGAAAAAACACCCCTGTGAGTCGCCTGAGGGCTTGCTTGGGCGGGACGTTCCAACGCTGAAAGGGCCCGGGCACATTCACTCGAACGAAAATGCACACCATCTTTCATCTGCCTCTTTGATATGGCTCTTTGACTACAAGGAGAAGGCAAATCACATCCACTTGGTTTCAAACAAAGTTTCAAAGGGGTGAACTTGTGTCTTCTCAGTTCTTGACAAGCCCAGCCCAGCCTGGGAATGAATAGCACACCGCATGGCTGACCCTTCCGAGCACCTTCCCAACCTCGCACATCACACACCCCAACTTCTCCACAGTCTCCTCCTCCTCCGCATGTCTCAAAAACTCCACCTTCCAGCCAACATGTTTGCGTAAGAATTGCCCAGCAAATGAAAATAACAATAATAGATGTGCTGCGTCAAGCAGCTGCAACTTTTGAGAGTCCGAATGTTCAAACATGCCATTATGGACTGAATAAAGAACAAGCACGCATTCTCATCTGGATTGATGGTCCTTATATGGGAGCCAGTGCCAACAAAGCACCCTACATGGCTGTCAAGGCACCAACTGTTGGCCTTCTTCCACTCATGATTCTGGAGATCACCAAACGTTTGGGTAGGAAAAGATTGCAAAGCAACCTTTATGAATGAGCTTGGGGCCCTTGGCGTCGAGACTACTTTATATTTTGCTGCAGCCATGCCCACATATGCATGGCTTCCCATACAAAGATGAACCCCCGCCTCCCGTGGCCCCTCTTTGTTCGGCGACATCGCAGTGGGCAGCGCAGCGCGCTTTTGAGCCCACAGGACTGGTGGAGAACAAGCAGTGGGTTAGAAAGCTCACTGGGATGATAGTTGGGCAATCGCTGCAACCTACAAACTTTCCCCGCTTCGACTACGGCAGCAAATCATATACAACACCAGAAATCGTCCAAGCCTCCTACTGTCCTCCACTCCGACCCCCCAAAACCTCTCGGCGTCCGGGCCACACAGTCCACGTTCAGCACGGGGCAGCAGCCCTTGGGGCCAAAGCTCTTCAGCGGGAGCTTCCGAAGCCTGGAAGCGCTTGGGACCGGGAGCGAGTGCGCATGGCTCCTTGGACAGAAGAAGGTCCCTTGGGGCCCTGTACCCAAGAATCCCATGCACCGCGGCACAGTAGGCTTCCCAGTCCCAGCTCCGCCCTCCTCCAACGAAGGAAGCCAGGGCGCTTCTGGGCTCCAAACTCCTGGGCCTGCGCCAGGCTCTGCATCTTCTTCACCTCGGACCACCCATCGCACCCCGGAAGGCGGGAAACCTGTGGAGAGAGGGTCTCCAGGGTCCAGGCAAAAGGTCACTTGTGAGGTCACCAGTTACAAGGTCTCCATCAATCACGGCCTGGGGTCGCTCAAAAGAAAGCAGACCACCAAGGTTCAACGCGGATGATGTTCGGCCCTTTGCACTCACTAGCATGCACATGCACAAGAAGGATCCTTTGGAATGCCACCTGCGCTCCTCTCTACTCTGGCATGCCGTCGGAAGGAAGGTTGGCCTGTCCGGCCTCGCGCGGGGTGCCTCCGCCCCCGAGCCGCCCGGCGGAGCGATCCACGATGCCGCCGATGACGTAGACCTCCTCGTCGGAGACGTCCACCAGTTCCTGCCATGCGCGCAACAGGGGCAGGGAGCCTGCCATTGGGAGCCTGGGGAGGTGTGGCCGGGGGTGTCGGGGGTTTTGGGGGTATCAGGGATGTGGGATTGCAATTCATGGTTGCGTTTGAAGCTCTGCCCCTGCTCGACCCTCCAAAAAGGGCAGCCGGTCCTCATCGGCATCGGGCGTTAGAATCACCAGCTTGCCAGACCTGTCGCGCACAGGACCAATTGATCTCCGGAAGATCTGAGCTCCAAACCCTCCCCTGCCACCCCCTTCCTTCCCGCCACCCCGCGAAGACCACGCCTGGCTTCCTCTGCAAAAACCTCCCAGACCGACTTCTCGTGGAGATGCATCTTCCAACCCCTCACCCCTTGAGCTTCCAAGCCCCGCCAGGCGCGGTTTTCGGGACCCAAGGAGGTGAGGTGCAACTGCACCTTGCTGCCCATGTTCCGCGCCTCGCACCACTTGGCCGCAACTCGTGGGTGACTGGGTGAGGTTTTTCTGTTGACTTCGTTTGGCATGTGGAGGATGTGTCGACGTGCTCCAGCCTGCTGCTACAAGTTGACCCTCCGTTTTCCGTCACCACCATCAACACCACCACCGCGGCAGAAAAAGAACGATGTATCTAAACAGTGCCTGGCACCCACCGTCACATGATACGAAGGCTCCATGTCCTGGCGGGACCACACCCTCGGAGCCTCGGTCGCCGCGCGCGGCTCCGGCCTGCGTGTAGGCCAGCTGGATTTGCTTCGCCAGCGAGGTGAGCTCGCGCACGTCCATGGACTGGTCGAAGCTGCAATTCACCACCTGAAAGGAACACCGTAGGAACTTGAGCGTTCCGGGCGCCGTGTCCACCGAACCGGTTGGGAAAACTGGATGTAGACTGTTAGATTAAGAAAAACCGAGTGTCTTATAATCATAGGGTTTGATGGGTTTGCCACTTGTTTCGGTGTGTTTTCCCACCCGAACGCCGTGACCGAGCAAAACCACCAAGCTATATGTCTCATACCCTCCTCACCAGGTTCTCCCGCCAAGGCACCACCCGGGGCCGCCCACGCTCGAAGGCCTCCGTCAGCGACGTCTCCAGGAAAGCCTTCCGGTCGCGGCCCGCCTGGCGCGGGTCTCGTTCCGCGGACAAAGGCTGAGGGGGGAAAGCTTGAATTACGGACACTGTAAAGGACAAAGGGGTATGTACTGCAGGGGCGGATGCAGGCATCATGTAGGCATAGCTTTGGCGATGTTCAGGCAGGGTGCTTTTGCTGGTCAGTCTTGTTCGGAGCTGACACTGGAGGTGCCCGCAACAATGTGGAAGACCGGTGGAATGGGTGAGTCAAATGACCCTTCTAAGGTCTCCAAGGGCTGAGGGAGGAGAGGAGATCGGGGAGAGGAATGAGATGGTACCAAACGGTACCCAGCCTCACTGAAGAGTAGTGTGTCAAAAAGTCCACTTGAGACCAATAAGAAATCCTAAGATTATCCCAAGTGCATGATGATCCCCCAAGTGCATGAAATTCGGATTCCCATGATCAAAAAAAATGCATGTGCATCCTTCACTTGAGAATGACCCAACTACACAGTTGTGGCAATAGAGGATCAGGATCGGCATCGAACTCCGCGCTGGCGCTGGCCTGACGCTCCTGCTCCAAGAACTCCGCCCTCTCCTCGGCGGACCTCGGGGTTTACGTCTCGTCTTAAGTGGTCAGTGGCCCAGCTGGGTCCAAAAAGCATCCCACAATGGGGTGGATGGGTGGCGGTGTGCTGCAACTCCACCCAGTTGAGAAAGCAGAGCTACTTGATGCACAAAAATCGTCTAGTTGCCAATGTCGCCTTGTGACTCTACAAAAGCACAGTTGCCTTCCCGACCTGTTTCTTGTCCTGCCCTGGTCCGCCTGACTCAGATACACATGCTCACAGGCCAAAACACATGGACTCCAGCTTCTCTTTTCGAAGCTCTTGCTTTCGCTCTTTCTGCGCCCTGTTCCTTTGCTGCCTCCCACAATGCCACGACCCGACGCCCGCCCGGTCCGGGTGATTCTTTCGGTCGTCGAGGTGCGGTGTTGTCCAGCTGGTGGGGGGGGGACCCAAACCTCTAGAAAAGAGAAACAGGAAATGGTAAAGGATTAGTAGGGAGTGGAGAATTTCTGCATCAAGCCCTACTGCCTCATGAGCCTGGCTAATGCGGAAACCATCACCATCGCGGCATTCTTGCGCAAAAAGCCTAGCTCCAGATCAGGGAGCCAGGCCGCTTCTTCGGCAACACTCGCCGCTTGGCCTGTGCTCTTTGGCATGCAGCCTCTTCTGCTCCTTCCGCTCGCTCTTCCGCAAGCGCTTGGCTTCTGCTTTGTCTGGGGCTTTCTCTTCGGCCTGTTGTTTCGTTGTTGCAGGATCCCGTGGCAGAAGCCGAACTTGCTGTAGGTAACCTCAACCGTGCCTCTATAAGACGACCATCCATAATTCATAACCCACCACAAAGCAAGTCAATAATCGAGTTCAACTAACCTCCCACATCCACCATCCGTGCGGCCTGCGTTGACAGCTTCAGAGACTGTAGTCTAGTCATCTCTAGTCATGTCTAATCATGCTCCACTTGCTCCAAAAAACCTCCACCTGCCGTTGCTGAAGGGGATCCCACCAACAGCACGAAAACCGCGCACAAAGCCGCGGTCGAACGCCGCGCCACAACCGCGCGAAAGCCCCAATGCGAGACCCCTCTTGGTCACCTCCGCGGACGAGGACTCACCGAGGTCTGCGGGGATTGCAGCCATGGCGGTTCACATGGACGTCATGCCCGGGCTCGGTGGGTCTAACCGGGGGTCGGTTCAAATGGGTGGGTCGGCCACAAGGGCAGGGAGATGCGGGAGGCAGTTCAGGGTGAGTTCATTCCAACCCTAACCCAGGGTTCCAAGTTGGAATCAAATCGAAGCTCAACCCAGGGGTTCAGAGGTTGGAGTAACAACGACTCCACGCGGGGGGCATCTGCATAGTCAGATGAAGACTCTCCCAAACCACTTCCTGGGAGAAATATATGGATCTTTGAAGAAGCCTCATACTCATGGTGTGAACACTCTGCATGGCTTTGACGTGCCTATGGCATCCTATGGCTATGAATTCCTAACAAGAAACGAGGACACATCATCATCCTTTTGCTGCTTGCTTTTGCATGTTTTGACGTAGCAGGCTTCAATTAGTTTGAATCTCGTTAGGAGCCAAAGCTGCTCCTCACAATGCCAGAACCTACTCTCCTCAAACATGCCCATGGCTGCCGTGGCAATACCTGGTCATTGTCCACACCTGGCCTCACAGAAGCCATATTCAGCCATATCGCCTTGATGCTTTCTAGATTCAGGTCATTCCACAGCCGCTCCGGGCAGACTAGCTAGTTCTGTTCGTGCATGCCTCACAAATCAAGAGGAACAATGGCCCCGTGGATCGGTGCGGTGTGCCCTTGGCATCTCGCATGGAAACCCACAACACTCCCAAATCGATGTTCCTCTAGCGATGAGTTCGACCGATCTGACCCCTCCACCAGGTCGGTCTCTATCCCAAAACCTTCTGTTGCGCCTCCTGGTGCTGAGAACTCCGCCACCCTCCAAGGCCGCTCGCTCGTCCCCCTTCTTTTTGGTCGTTCGACGACGGGCCCTGCCAGGCTCATCAGCTCTTACCGCAAGGCGGCCTCGAGCACAAGGCTTTCAAGATGGCACCCATTGTGCATGCCAAGGCTGGGGTCGGTGAGAATGAGCCGGAGGCGAAAACCGAGCCGCCACCAGCCAACTGGGTGGGGAAAACGACTTTTTGGGAGCCTTTTGCAGCCAACCAGGATCCCTTCTTTCACACGGGTGACATATGCCTGGTTCACACATTCTGAAGCCGAGCGACCGTCACGCTCGCTACAGCATGATGCATCTTCTGCCTGCGCGGGATCGCGCCCAATGGCGTCCCGGCTAGATCCTAATCTTAGTCTTGAGTACTGGATGCCATTTTCAACATATATGCGGGCGTATATAGAGAGAGAGAGAGAGAGAATTAAGTTCCATGTCAGTGGCGCGGCTTCCTGAAACTGAAATTCCAAAATGATCCAAAATGCAAAGAAATTCAAACACGTGTCTGATCTTGGGTCTTCTGCCGATCTGCTCCTGCACAATTTCGATGTCAAGCCTTACAATGGCCGCGTTGGTTGTTGAGGTGGCTCTTCAGCCTACCCTCGACTTGCGCCCCAACAGCCCCCACTCGACCAGTGCAAGATAGCCTAAGCCATGAGGATGTGCTGGGTGCTTCCGCAGTGGGCGCCTGCAACGACGGAATGATGAAAGCGACCCCCCCCCCACACTGAGATGTGAGGGGCCACATGTCAAAGCAAAGGAAGCCAGTCTCCTTCGAAGAAGCCCCCATCGACTCGGGAAATTCGATGTGAAACTGTGTGTTGCAAGCCATTTGGCTCTGAGTCCCCCAATCTGAAAAGGAATCCTCTCGTTTGAACCTCAGCGGCTCCTTTAGATACGATGATGCCACATAGTGTCTGCAAAACTCCTACCACCCCAACCCCACATCATTCATCTCCGGTCAACGGCATAGGATCACCGCAGCGCACGGCGTAGCTTCCAAAAGACTCTCCAAGTTGGCAGGATATGCCCGTCCACACCCAAACACGTCCGTCCGGTGGCATCCTGATCTCACACGACGTTCGTGCGAGCCCCCCAGCCCCGGGAACATCGCCGAGGCCGAAGTCGTCTGGGACATGTCTCCATCGGGCCTATTGGGACCTCCCTCCACTTCCACACCCCTGGCCTTGTGCTCTTCTTCGCGGCCCTCCATCACAGCGACCGGTGCTTGACCAGTGGCCACCTCGATGACAAAAGCACAGAAGGGTGACCAAAGGCGTGCTTGTCCGGTTGTCTTGCCGCTGTTTGCCGTACTTTCCACTTCCCCACTCAACTACCAAGGGCATGACAAACCATTGGCTCAAACCTAGATTCAACAACCACGACAAAGTGTCCACCTTCACCAATGGAGGCCCAAGGCTGATGTGGCTAACATCCTGTCTCCGGAGAAGGACACTGAACAGTAGAACTCAAAGAAGTGCAACAGGGGCGCCCATGCGCACCAACGTTGCAGCCCCCCGGTCATCTTCTCAACTCCACCCATCTCACTGGCACCTGCACCAGATGCAGCTTGGCCACGAGCTGCTCAATCTGCATCTGCTTCGCTGCCACCTGCTTCTCGCAGAAGTGGTCACCCCGGCACTCTGCCAGGTGCTTCTCATAGAGCGCCTCCAGCTCTTCAGCTCGCGACGACGGTCAAGGCATGGCTGAACATTTGAGTCCACCCCCAGAGCCGTCACTAGCAAAACAGGACATATTTGGAGTGTCTCAGTGCCCTATGGCAGCTCTTGATTTTGGGGCCCTCCCCCACTTCAATGGCCTACTTCAATCGATCGAAGATGATCAAGAATGAGTCAGAATGAGGCATCCCTCCATTTCGCAAAGTTAGCATTTTAAACCCCCGCACATGGCGTGTTGTTGTTCATGAGGCTTCTTGTGCAGCCGCCAAACCCGTTGGCACAACCCTTCCCCGTCCAGAACCCCGTGGGCGCCTCGCCTCACGCGCTCGCATGTGGCGGCCCTGTTCAAAGACCTGCGCCTCTCGGCTGCGCATGGCCTCTGCCTCCGCGGCGGTCTGCGCCACCAGGCTGTGCTGGAACTTCAGGTGTTCCTGAGCTGAACAAGGACGAGACTGGTCCACACTGCTCAGTCGAAAGAGAACTGAGAGTCAGAACCTCTCTGTCCTCTCAGTCCATCCGATCTTCGGCCCAAATCCATGGGACATCAATTCCAAGTCTCCACTCCCTGCTGTCCCTTGAGGTGTGGCTTTCGGTGGCGCTGCGGCGCCGCATCGAAGGCATCGAAGGCCTCGCTGGCGGTCGCCGGCCACAGCGCCAGCGCGGTGAGGAGAGGCACCTGGGCGGCGAAGGCGGCACGACGAGCGGCCCAGAAGTGGTGGAACAGGGTAGGGAGCAAGGACGCTACGAACGGAGCTCCTGGCATCGCTACGAACGGAACACAGGGCATCGCTACGAACGGAGCAAGGACGCTACTAGGAACGAGGGCATCGCCACTAGGAACAAAACAAACAAAAACGATTCTTGTCCGGGTGTCCATTAACCAAGGGGTCATGGGTTATATAAGTCCGTAGAAAGCAAATTTGTGAAGTATGTAAGGTCAACTCAGCTTCGGCTTGTTGATGTGGTCTCCATTTTGCGTCCTTCTGAACAGACCCCCACACACAATGGACCCTCTTGACTCGGGCCCACATGGTTGATCGTGGAGTAGGAACATTGAGTCAGCAACCAAGCTTTCAACTCATGAAGCATCCGCTGAAGCTGAGGTGCTGCATTGTAGATCTTCATCCCCGACTCGATCGAGGAGCCGGCGAAAGGGGTGTGTGGTGGACACCCAGCTGGAGCCGGCGGCTGCAAGGCAATCAAGTTGGTGATGGTGAGACCTTCCACCATCTTCCACCCACCATCTGCCAAAAGAATCACATGAAAAGTCAAGAATGGCACCCACAACAAAGCGTGCTGAGCCTCTTTGGCTCTCCTTCCCCTTTAGCTGTTTGACACTCCCCATGCCACACGTCCATTTGACAGTCCCCGCGGGGGCCGATGGTCAAGGAATCACACGAGTTCGCTCCCACGTCGCGCGCGAGGACGACCGCTTGCAGCATGGGAGGCCTGCGCAAAAAGACCCCCAAAAGCCAGGCAATTGACCGTGACTCATGATGCAAATCCACCATGAAGATTCGTCCGGGACTAACCCTGACAGATCCGATCTGATCAGAATCCAACGACCTGGCAGGTTCCATCTCTCACACCAAACGAACCACCCATCTCCACGTGAGTCGACCGCCCCCTGGAGCTGGTCGAGCGCCGAGCACTCCCCTTTGGCTGAGCAGCAGACCCCTCAGCAGACCCAAACGGAATGGCCAAACCCCATGGGTTTCAGCCTTCCGCCCCACCCTTCATCCCAAATGAGGGAAGGCGATCTGAAACAAGACCTACCAAGACCAAGCAACTTTGAAAAAACCCAGAAGAATTATTCTGGAGGGAGATCCTAGCAATTCCTGAAGTCCTGCATGCCCTCATCCAAATGGGGCGAGGAATAAAGTTGTAATTCTGGTGCTACGTTCCATCCCATCACTGCCTGCGGCGTTCTCCGCCCATCCAGAATCGCCTCCCTCATCGGCACGTCTCTCACTACCTCCTCCGCACGTCTCGCCGCTCAGACCCCACGCGAACAGGACCCGGAGGAGCCTGAACACGTAGAAAGCTGACGAGCTCGGAAGCGGCGCTCCATCTGCCCGACGTGGCTCGCTTTGTGGAGCTCGAGACCCAAGGATCACGTGCGGGGGCAACCGGAGAAACCGCCCACCCGGTGCCCGCAGTCACATCGGCTTAGAGGACTCCGGGCCCAAATTCTCTGTCGCATTTGGGCACATATGCCTTCTTTGGACCCTTGGTTCCAATAACAGTGGAGGGGAAGAAAAAAAGTTCTAAGAAAGTACAAACCTGAGGTTGTTCTTCCCAAGGTTCCAATGTTTCATCTCTTCCAGGGTGCCCCCCGAAGCGGCCTTCCTCTTCACCTGCTTCGCCTCTTCCGCCTGGCGCGCTCGGCTAGCACGGAGCGATTCTAAGACTTCACAACTGATGTTCTCAGCTGCAGGAACTTCTATGGTAGACTTCCCTGGCCGTCTCTCTGTGAGATCTCTCCGGAACTAACATGGAAGTGGAAAGCACCCCGGATTGTAAGAGGAAAACGGTCGTCTTCCAAGGGGCATTTGTCCACTTCCATGCTAGTTCCAGGGGGGTGTAGCATTTGGTCAGCTCACTTTCTCCTGTTCAACAAAGCATCACCCTCATGCTCCACGCTCAGGACTCCCGTGCCTTCAAGATCAAGAAAGGGAGGGAAGGATGCGGAACCACATGAACCTCGGCCGGTATGTCCACTGCCTCCATTTCCGAAGGAGGAAAAGCTGGAAAAGAGAGAAGTTCGAACGAACACGGAGCGAGTCCACCTGCACCGGCCCCCATCCTGTTCTTTCACAACCAATTTCTGAAACTGACGTCCAATCAACTCCGTAACTGTGCCATTGAACGTGAACGATTTCGAAGCCACTTCACCCATGTGTGTAAGGTTTCTTTTTTCCAACGGGTGCTGATCGGGGTCTATGGTGAGGATGGGTGAGGCGGATGGGCCCAGTTACATCGAGTACAACGAGCATCTCACCCCGAGGTCCACAAGCGTGAGATAAAAGCACCCCTTTGAACCTCAACTCCTACAAACACCTAACATCCGTCATCATCCATCATCCATGTGCATCTTCTGGTTGTTGTTTCTCCCTTCAGGTGTCCGCGCCAGCGCACCGGCAGCCGCACGCCGCACGCGGCCATCGAGGTCTTTGGTCAGCGCGGCCTTCGCGGGGACCGGCGTGGTGGCAAAAGGGTGTTTGACCGGGACATGTGAGGTGGGATGGGTCATGGAATGATAACACCCTAGGCAACGGGTCAATGGGTTCTAAAACCTCTTCATATGGGGAGGCTGCCTTTCATCAACAGTCATTAGGAGTCTTTGTTGGTGATGTTTCAGTAAATCTTGGACCATCCCGTCAATATCGTGCAGGGGGTCCTGTCATTGATTTTATATATTATGAAAATGGTGGGGTTGACCACCATCATTTGCAACAGTGGAGGGTGGAGGGTGGATCACCAGATTCTCGCTTGTCTTCCATCTCTCGGTGGCCCACCAGGATGGGATCATGGGTCTTCCTGGACCGTGGGAGCCTGAAGGCCCCTGTGAGGTCAGAAACCGAACGGCAAGGAAGGAGCTTCATGAAAGTTAGATCCAAATCGGATCAAATCCGATCACATCCGTACTATATTGGTGACTCTATCGAGGCATGAGTATGCCATCAGCTCGGCCGCAGGGAACCAGCGCAGTGTCACCGTCCGCTCCTGCAGGGCCTCCGCCGCCGAGCTCTCGCCTGATGGACTCGGCGCCGCTCGTCGGGACTGTCCGGGGCCGCTCGGTGGGGGGTTACACTAGTAAGGCACTTGTTTCTACTAGTAAGGCACTTGTTACTACTAGAAGTGTCAACATCTGTGTGAAGAAGGCGTCACTGGCCGTGCGGCGGTCAGCAGCCTTGGGCAACTTGCAAAGAAGCAAACAAGCAAACACATCGACCTCCTCACCAGAAAAATAAACTAAGTGAACATCCAAAAAAAAAAAAAAACTGCCAGGGAGTTCTTCAGAAGAAAAGTGGGGTCCACTTGGTCCACGTTACACGCTGGTTACCAGTCATGTGATGGCCATGACCGCCCCACACATCTTGCTCCGCCGATGTCTGACGACGCCTCGCTCCCCGCCCATCTCGCTCCACGCCTCGCTCCACCACACGGGGCAGTGCGCGGCATGCGGCGGCACGAACTTGCCTCAAAGCCGTCTCGGCGAAGGAGGCTGGGAGACATGCCATCCAACCACTTCAACAGTGGAATGGTGTATGCCCAAAAAAATTGTGTATATCAAATTGGTACTGGTACAGGCGTATCCAAAAAAGAAAGTGGGCTACCTATATACATGTGCTATAGAAAGTCGTCCAACTCCCGAGTGCTCAGACATCATGATGTGCGTGCTGGGCCCTGCCACACAGCACAGGCACCCCTGGGAAAATCCCCGTGCAGTCTCTCTCTCTCTCTCTCTCACTCTCTCATCCCACCAACACCACGAAATCTATGGAGTTCGGTTCTGTGGCTCCAGCCAATCCAGGTCCACCAGCATCTCAATGACCCTTCGCACCTCGGAGGGTTCTTCGGAAGCAGCGAAAACCCCCGATGGGCTTTAGGGCGGAATCTCCTCCAGATCCATCGATCGGATCCATCGATCCTCATGGAACCTGAAGATGCAAGAGCACCACGGTAGGGGCGCGCTTAGGGTGGGTCGTCCAAGTGCCAGGACCCAGGACCCTGAAATTCCATGTTCGTCGGCATGTGGAGGAACGGGTGGAGGCCTCTTGCTTTTCGCATCGTACTGCCCCACCGTGGAAGAGGCAAAATGTGGTCAAAGTCAACAGGCAAAGGTCCAAGCCTGATGGCTAAAAACGGGGTAGCATCATGCTATCTTTCAAGCACTCGCTAGTGGGCGGAGTGGAATGAGCTAACCGAACAACACCGGCGAAAGCGCAAATTGAGCTCCGTGTTGCACCTGCCTCGAACTAAGAAATGCCATGCTTTGTGTCCGGTGGGCTGCAATCTTAGTTTTTGAAACCAACTCCACACAAACCTAGCAATGCAATCAATGAACAGCATCTGTGCTCCTCAAATCTCCCCAACCTGCCACTCCAGGCTGCCCAACGACCAGCCGCGTCCGCACTGCCACCTGCCCTAGCACACCCAAGGCTGCAGCCCGCACCTCTGGGGGAAAAAGAATCACCACAGCTCACTGTCACCAAGGCTCCAGTGACATCCTCAACACACGGAATTGATGGAGATGAATTCTCGAAAGAAGAGCGAAAGGAACAGCATCAAGACCGGCTCCACCACATGGTGCAACAGTGCAATTTGGAAGCCAACCTCAGCTAAGATCCATTCCGACATTCAAAGGCAATGAAGCACGAAGCCTTTGGCGACGGATGCGTCAGCTGGCGTAGGGCAGCAGCCACAGCCTGAAGGGGAACCTTGAAAAGGAATGCCTGGTCACCTGCCCAACCAAAGGCCCTTATATATCAATATATATATATATATATGTATACATATGTACATCTTCTATTTCTCCAATGATGCCGTGGGACCTATGTGGAGGCCAGATCAGCAAAGTATGAAGAGGCCTCGGCACTCCTCGCAATGCCACACAAGTCAACTGAGCTTCGGCCAATACGTATGATTAAACCTCTATAAGTTCTTACGCTGGTGTTTGCGCGTTGCCGTTGCTTACGCAACCACAGCTTTAGCTTACGCGAGGCCTTGGTTAACAAGTCTTACGCAAAGCTTACGTCATGACACAATTATGATTCCGCGAGGTTCCCCCAAAGGTTTTGCTTACGCAGCAATACACTAGGCTGCTATGCTCTTCATGCTGTAAAGATCAGTACTTACGCAAACCTTACGCAACAAGTGTGTTCAACATGGAGCTTCCGCGACCTTCCGCGGCACAATGTGTTCCTTACGCCGCAGATTGATATGACATAGATGCTTAATGGAATGTCAAGGAAGGTTTTGGCTATTGCCCGACTGCTGCTCACTGCATTGAGACCAGGCAGACCGAATCCCTCCCCCTGGCGCCCCTCCCTGGCCTCATTCTTGGGGGCCACACACGCCAGGGCCTTTGCGGCCATCGTGCTCACCTGCTTCAGGCGAAGCCGTGGAAATCCTTCGAAAACCTCTTTGCCCACAAAGTCGGATTCTCTCCCTGACTCTCCCTCTCCCTTCGGAGTTGCGGAAGGCGGCCATGGAGCCCACTGCTTGGTAGTCATTCTCCCCCAATTCTGGGGCGTTCTTGAGTCATTATCTATTGTTATTGCTTCTATTATTACTATTGTTATTACTATTTTTACTATTATATATTTATATATATATATATTGTATATATCATATGCGGAATCATATGCGTGATTATATATGAGTCAATTTCACTACCACGCAGTTTCCTCGGTCGTCTCCAGTCACATTTCTCCACAGTTTCCTGGGGCCCGCCACGGTCACATCATCATCGGCCAACCTCGGGGGAGCGTCGACGGCGTCGACGCGCAGTCAGCTTGGAGCCGAGAAGGTCCAGGCCGTCTGACCTCAACTTGTGCGAAGAAGAGGACTCAAACCACAAGTCTGTTGGATTCAGTAAGGCTGCGAGGGCAAGTGGAATTTGGGGGCTGTTCACGCATCCCCTCCCCGCAGGTCCAAGTGGCGCAGGCTCCAACACCACTGCCACCCCCGGCTGGTTCTCCTAGCGGCTTGCACAACAGCTAGGAAGAAGGGGCTCTCGATGGGCCCAGGGTCAACGACCAAGAGCAATAGCTCTCGGCACTCAAAAAAACCCAACAAAACGGCTTGGGCTTGGGTCGCAAGCGCAAACGGGCTCACGGCAAGAAGTCTGAATTTGGCCAATGCACCAATTCTCCCTGTCTTTCCTTGAAACGCCTGGGGATGGATCAGATCCTTCCCTCGCCCTCCGGAGAAGATGCAGGGCCGAGGCCAAACACCCCCCAAACTCCGCCTCCCAATGCTCACTCAAGCGGGTCAGCACGATGGCCGCTGCCTTGCGGAGGCAAGCCTGGGCAGGTGAGCCCAAGTCACTCGGAGGTCCAAAATACCAAGACAGTTTCCACCTGTCACTGCACAGGCCGTTCCTTCACGGTGGGTTTTTGAGGATGGTTTTTTGGTTAGGGTCCCGGAGTTTCTAGGGTCTTCCAAGGCGGTGGAAACCAAAAAGGTAAATGAGATGGGAATGAGGTGTGTGACTTTTATAGCTCATGCCAGCTTGAAAGTGCCTCCAAAAGCCCACCTCACCGAGTTCTCCCTCCATTCACCGTCCCAACAAGAGGCGTCGGCTGGGCCTCCGCACCGCACTCCCATCCCCCAGGCACTGCAGCGCCCTCCGCGCCACGCGCCGCCGGGCCGGCGCGTCGCAGCCGTCGGCGACCTCAGCTGAAGACTTGGAGAGTGCACAAAGGCTTCCGAATTGGCTCAGTGTCTGCGGCTCCGGAACCGAGGACCGTCCACCAGTTCAAAAACACGCCAAAGCATCTGATACCATCTACCACCCTGGTGCCGCTCCCAGCAGCAGAGCCTCACTATGCATGTCCTTTGAGCAAAGTCCCACCGTCCGCAACACGGCTGGCACCGCTGAGCCACCGGACCAAGCCCAAGCGCCGCAGCGCCGCAGCCCGCGCTTGCACGGTGGCACCGCCCACAGTGACAAGGTGCTCCTCAAGAGAGGCTGAAACCGCACCAAGCCATTGACTGCAGGAGAGGAAATCCACCTCTTGGCCACATGATGAAAGCCGCCTTGCGTCTCTCTTGACACCCACAACTCGGCTGACAGGCTGACAATGTTTTTTTGAATTTTGTTCGCGCTCTTTTTGCAACCGGAGGAGCACTCGGATAGAGTCAAAGGGTAATGCCTCGGATCGAAAAGCCGCAGTCGTCAAAGATTGCCCGGCATGCGTACGTGCGACCTGCAAACTGGACCTGGCACTTGTCCTCAAGGATCTTGAAGAGCAACTCCAACGGCTGGCCTGGTGGTGGCAAAGCAAGGGCGTGTAGAGGCTCGAAGGGTTCGTGAGTCAGAGTGAAATCAGGAAGCCGCGTGTCCACGAAGTGCGGGGCCAGATCGAAGGCAGTCAAGTTGTGGAGGATCACCTGCAGGGCGCAGGCAAGAAGCAAGAATCTGGAATGAGAAAAGACAGGGAGGCAGCGGGTGCACCTGAATCTGATTGCCAGGTTCCGGCGCAGGCACGACACCAGGGAAGGGAGGTGGGCGGCGCGCAGCGGCCTCGCGGGGGGCTGCGCGCCGCCAGCGCGAGCTCGAAATCAACCAAGGCAGCGGGCCAAGAAGGCAGAGCTAGTAGAGGAGGGAGTCTGACGCCAACGGCTGCAGAGGATCGTGCAAATTGGGCACCCAGGGAAGCACCACGATGCACATAGTCGAGGGCTTGTGGAACCAGGCGAACAGGAGTGGACCCGATCGCAGGTCTCTGCGAGTCCGGCGGCGCCAAGAGAATGGACGGTGGGGGCGGCGCGTCGTCAGGCGCAATGGAAGTGAGAAGAGCGGAAGCCTGGCGGAGAAGGTCGGCGACATAGAGGCGCTGGAAGGCTGCAGAAGTGTATGGGCCTCAGGATGACCCAGCAAGAAGTGGAGCATTTCCGGCATGCTTTTGCGCGTGCGTTTCTGGCAAGCAGGGATCATACGCTGCAAGACCCGCGATGCGTGGGCCAAGGGCGGTATAGTGGTTCGGACAAGGAGGCGATTTCAGCTTCCGAGGCTGCGTGGCCAGATTGAAGAACGGCCCACAGATTCGTCAGCTGAGGCTGAACGTTGCTGGAACAGTTGGTGACGTAGAAGGTAGTGGTGCGCAGGTTTGTCAGCATGAACTGGAGATAGGTCACGGGGTTGGGGAGGCGTGCCGATTTCACGCCGAGCACGCAAAGCATGCCCGTGCAGGCGGCGCCAGGCGCGAGCACGTTCGGTGCCAAAACACTAAGCGGCAGTAATGAATACGTTTCCAGAAACCCTTCCAACACGTGGCCGGGCGGCATTTGTGAAGGCCACATTGGACAACGGCGCGGCGTACGTCGTAGAGGAGCATGTTGGTCCAAGAGACGGCGGGCAGCGGCGAAGCTGCGTCCAAGTACGCACGTGGCCACGACAAACACGGAGGCAAAGCCTGTGTCACATCGTCAAAAGGGTCGAACCAGGCATCGGAAGATGCCCGGACGGGGAGCAGACGAGCAGGGTCCGCAGCGTACCAGCGGCTGCAACTGGGACAAGGTGTGAGCAGTTTGCGGCGTAGCCAAAATGTTGGGGAGGGCTTCGATGGAAGTGTTGGAGACTGGCAGCCCATTGCAGGAGAGCAGCTGAGAGTTCTGGGAGGTGGTCGGCAAAGCGGTGCAGCAGGGCCTGGGGCGACACGAAGCCTGTGAGGTGTAAAAGAAAATGGATACGCAGACTGCCGCGATTTTGCGGTTCCAAGAACACCCTCGAGAGGCGAACCGGACAGGTGCGCAGAGGGAGGAAGAGACTCAGGAGCTTGGCAGCCCAGCAGTTGGGTCAGAAAGAGGACCACATGAACATGAAATGCGCGGGCAGCTGCGACCGGATCGGCAGCCAGCACGCGAGGCAAATCCACGGACTGCAAAGTGGAAAAGACAGCAGAATCGAGGCAAGGCACTGCAAACTCCAAAGCCGGTTCATCTGGCAAGCGCAGTTTGCAGGTGAGGGGGCGCCGAGTATCGCAGGGGTTGAGCGTGATGAATAAGGCTGGGAATCTGGAATTTTTTCTGGTAGCGCTGTCACATACTGGTTACCGTGGCAGGCATAGCATTTTGAGCACCTTCAGTCGCTCATTTTGTGGCAGGCACGGCATTTCGTGAGCCTCGAAGCGCAGATTTCGCGGCAGGCGCAGCACTTCGTGAACCTTCAAGCGCAGACCTCGTGGCAGGCGCAGCACTTTGTGAAAATGGAAGTGCACCTTTCGTTGCAGGTACAGCACTTTGTGAACCTAGAAACCTTTTTGCGGCAGGCGCAGCACTTTTTTCAACCTCTATTTTTTAAGTGCAGATTAGGCTGAAGAGCTCACGCGTGAAAGAATGCAGCAATGCGAGGATCACAGCTGGAGCAAGGAAGCTAGGGGCAAGGACAAAGTGTGCCTTTTATCGTGTCGGCTGGTTCACATCACTTTGGATAGGTGGTTCGAAGCGCAGCTATCCTCTCGGCAGCGGTCATGCCCTGGCAACATAGCAAGATGGTTGGAAGGATGATGAGAAGAAGAACTTGTTAAGACTTCGAGAACCTGAAACGAAGTGGCCTTCCACATAGAAGTGCAAGGAGCAGCGTCAGGAATGTAGGGGGCGCACCGAAAGAACAAGAGCGCGCATACTCCGCAAAGTGAGGCATATGAGGCAAGCGCATGGTTTGGAGCAGAAGCTGCAGGAGGATGAGCCTTAGTCGAATCCAATCCATTCAATAGTTGTGGACCACAGAAGAAAATGAAAATGAAGCCGTCTGAGGCGAACGCAGCCGCCGCATGCGCCAAGGCCTGGGACATCGGTTTGAACACGAAAATTTCATGCGGCAGGATGAGGGAACGGACCAGAGAAAAAATGAAAATAAAGCTGTCTGAGGTCAACACAGCTGCAGCGTGCGCCGAGGCCTGGGAGATTGCTTTGAACACGAAAGTCACGAAAGCTAAAATTCCATGCGGCAGGACGAGGGGCCAGAGGTCTCTGGGCCGACGCATCTGGAGCACCCGGCGTCAAGCCGCCGGCCTGCGTCAAGTCGCCGCCATGTGAACACACTGGCACATGCAACCAAAACCTCAATCATGCGTCAAGGTGAGATTAAAGTTTGGAAGTCGGTGTAGGACATGAGGCGCAGCATGTCCACTGTTGCTTCTTGCCGCACGAAACGTGACCGAAGACTGCCAAGACCGGCAGACTGGAGCAGAGTCATCAGATGGTCAGGCCCACGGCACTGCGAGACATGTGGCACAAGGGGCGTGGCTGGTGACACAGCCATTGAATTGGAAGCGAGCAAGGGACCAGGTTGCAACAAAGAACGCGAAAATGGAGTTGGGCCTCCTGCTCTCTTTTTACTTGGTCGGCCAGCTCGTGCTCGTGGCTTGGCTAGGGGAGTTGCAAGGCACACACACACACAGGTCACGCAAGTCCGCTGTAGAGCCGATACGTCAACAGAAGCTAGTGATCAATATGAAAACATCCCTCCGAACAGAAGCCGCCAAAAGCCAAAAGCCACCACAAGCCAAAAGCCGCCAAAAGCCAAAAGCCACCACAAGCCAAAAGCCGCCACAAGCCAAAAGCCACCAAAAGCCAACACCCGCCAAAAGCCAAAAGCCGCCAAAAGCCAAAAGCCACCAAAGGCCGCAAAAATATGAGTTCCCCACAACTCCCGCCCTGGAAGCTGGGCCTCCCAACGCTGGCCTGGTTCAGCGCCCACGCCTGCGCTGCGCAAGCGCGCAGGGCCATGCTGGCGCTGCGGCAGCACAACAGCTCGGCGATGCCTGGGAGGCTCGGGGTGGGGTGGGGCCGGCCGGCGGCCGACCGGAGTCCGGACTTCGGGGGCGTCAGCGATGATTCCGTTTCGTAGGATCTATCCCATTGCCTGTAACAGATGATGATGATGATGATGATGTTCAACAATAATGATAACTGTTTTCTGCCGGTTACAGGTAATAGGACAGACCCTATGTATTCAATATACCCGCAATGTCCTGTTTGAATCGCTGCTCCCCATCTGAACGCTGGCCACCTTCCCACCCTCCAACGAACAGGTGCCAAGGCCATCCAGCAGCCGAAACTCCACACAGGCCACCTGAGCCGCAGTCCGAAGTGGCCGTTGCCAATCAGTTCTCCATGGGCTGTGACCCGCCAGAACTCCTCCTTGAAAGCCTTCAAGATGTGCGGGGGGGTGGCGTCGGTGGTGTTCCCTTAACATGTTTTGGGGCACACCTGAAACAAAAGAAATCCGCCGACCCTGGCGTGACTGTTGATAAAAAGACCGGGAACGGATAAGGCTAAGGCTAATCATATAAGTAAAGGCTAAGGCTATACCTCCCCTACCCCTCCGGAGCTTGGCTTAAGTGACGAAAAGGTCGTGAAATTAGCCAAGAATTAGCCAAGAATTGTCCAAGATTTGTCCAAGATTTCTCCATCCCAATTGATTTACATCTTGGGGCACCCTCTCCACCCGCGGGGAAAAATAGGCACGGTCCCTAAATGGTCCCGGGCTCGAATCCCGGCCTGGTTGCGGCCTGGTCCCTGCCAGTGCCCTTGGTTTTTCCTAGATGTTGTAACGTTTTCCGCTGGATTTCCAAGATTTTCAAAGGTTTTTGTAAGATTTACTCATGCCTTTTTCGAGGGTTTTTCCAGTATGTTCTATGGTTTTTCTAGGAAGTTCTGTGGTTTCCTGAGATTTTCCACTCTTTTTTCTAAGGTGTTTTCGGGGCTTTTTCTAGGAGTTTCTCCTCTATGCGCACCGCACGTGCAAGCTTTTTCTGCTCTTTTCTAGTGCTGCGCTCGCATTTTTTGGGTTCCCAGATTTTCAAAGAAAAATGCTAACCCATTTGCCGTGCCTCTCTTCTGCCTACTTTGCGCCGACCCCGGCCCGCTCCACCTTTGGGAACACGAACCTGGTTCTCCCACGCCTACAGCTCTGCTGCAAGGTTCAGGCAAGACACTCGCACACAAACAACATGCCTCACTCCAGACTTCGCTGTCGCAGTGCTCTGGCTGGCAGACACGTGGGCAACACCCTGCAAACGGTTTACTCAAAGCTTCGCTGCTGCAATACTCTGGCTGGCAGACAGATGGGCAGCGCCCTGTGTAGAAGCAATGTCCATACGCCTACATATTGAACCGAATGGCCTGGGAAGGCTCTCTGATGTGGGTGTCGCTGTTACGCAACTCTCAGCGCGGACAGCGACATTCCCATACCGTTGACTCACCTGCACCATGATCGCTTCCACGTGTGAAAGGCACCAGGCGTGCCAGAGATAGGCAAGAAACATAAAGAGCAAAGAAAGGGGAGAAAACAAACAGCGCCCCCGCAGATCATTGCCCAACACGACCCCGCATACCACAGGTAAAGGGCGGGGAACAGGCGTGCCAGGGATAGGCAAGAAACATAAAGAGCAAAGAAAGAGAAGCACCAGAAAGAAATCATAAAGGACAGGAAAAGGATGGTGAAGGAAAGAAAAAATATGAGCCAAAATGAGAATAGACCGGGGGGAAGTGGGCTTCGGGTAAATTGCGTCAGTAATCAGGGTTTTCTGCGACAGTACTTTGTTTCAGGGTTTTTTGCGACAGCTCTGGGGAAGGTGTTTATTGCAACAGCACAGCAGCAGCAGCAGCAGCACCAGCAGCAGCGGCAGGAGCGGCATCAGCGGCAGCGGTAGCAGTAATGCAGCGGCAGCGGCGGCAGCACCGGCATCAGCCGCAGCGGTAGCAGCAACAGAGCACAGCAGCAGCAGCAGCAGCAGCCGCAGCAGCAGCAGCAGGCACCAGCAGCAGCAGCAGCACCGAGGCATCTAGCCGCTGCAACGACCGGCAATGGCAACCGGCAATCGCGACATACAGCTATACAAGAGACCAAGCACTAGCAGACGCAGCTGCAGGCCGACAAGCGCCGCTTAGCTTCCCGCGCAGTTGCGCGGTACTGAGCTTCTCCGCCACGGCAAGGCGGGCGCTAACGGGAGAAGAAAAACCGTGCGTATAGTTAGTTGGGCGCCGCACCCCGCCCCGACGCGGTAGGCGAGAAAGACCTGGCAGCGGTGACAGATCGTACAGTATGGCTACGCACTGCGAAGAAGTGTCGAATCGACGAGCAGAATCGGTCAAGCACAGCCAGTATGAAAAATGCAAAGTTTAACGTTTAATGACCAAAGAAACGAAAGAGCTGCGTTAGATAATGTTTGATGTCTCACCTTTTTCCATGGCAGCAAGAAAGTTTGTTTGTGGCATCAGGAAGAAACGCGGCGGCGTTTGCGCGGGGGAAGGTTGGAAGCTTTCTTTCGCCCACCTTTCTTGTTGGCTGGCACTGTCGAAAGATTCAAAGCCGGAGACGAAAAGTTGGGAAGGCTGCAACTACGAAGAAATGTTGAATGTTCGCATTGTGCATGCATGGCGGCTGCCAGGCAAGAACATAGTATCGAAGTTGGTTTGATTTTGAGATACACGATGCTTTCAAAATGGAACCGCAAAGACTCCAGGGAAAGGGTTCCATCAGCAGCGAAGAGGTCTGGCAAACTGTGCGCAGTCAAGGTTTCAGGGTGTAGAAGGACATGGAGAACTTTGCGCGCAACGCTGCAGTTCAGCGGGGATGTTCTGGCAGCGCTTGCAAATGCGACCCAAGAAAGATTGGCGCATGGGTGCAGGATGTACAAGGTATCACGAGGCAACTTGTTCAAATGGGCAGCGGGTGTACGTCCAGCACGAACCAAAGCTGTGCCATTGATGAGCTGCGGATCTTGACTTACTGGCGCAAAAGACAAAGATGAAGAGTCACCCCATTTGTACCAATCTTTCCAATGTTGCGTGTAGAGCTGCTGCAAGACTTGCAAGCCGTGGTTGATGTTGCCACGCCCGCCGAGCTGACTGAGCTCGCGTTGCCAAGATGCATGCAAAGCTTCTGCGGGCTCGCTGCCGCTACCAGAACCGGAGATGATGCCGTCAAAGCCAATCCAGAAGCTGACGTAGACAATGTCATCTGGCAACATTTGGCAAGCAAATTGTGCCGGAAGAACACGTTCGTAACTCTTGAGGTAGTTGGCTAACTCTGGCTCGCCAAGGCTACCGAGCGTGGCTAGGGAAGCTTTCCACAGCCAGCTAAAGAGAGGCAAGGTAGGCACCAGCTGCAGAATCTCAAGTGTATCCAAAGCAAACCCGAGGTTCTTTTTGATGTATTTTCCTTTGCGATGAATCACTTGCTTGCATTTGGCTTGCATAGTAGTCAAAGATTTTTGCTTCAGGTGGAAAAAATCATCACACGCTCGCGAGAGCGGTAGCACTTGCAGTCGAGCCTCCTCAATGCTGGGGTGGAAATCTTTGTGAATTTGGAGCGTTAGTTGTTCTTGGAGCGGCGAGCGGCGTGGTTGTCGAGAAGCCCATAGGTCACAGATCTTCTGGAAAAGGCGGATATAGTTCGGCTTTGTTTCGGCGTGAAACACGGCTTGCACTATGGGCAGTCCATGTGAAGTCCAAGCGCGGCTTTGGGTGCGACAACCACCAGGGCCTCTCGGCAAATGGGTTGGTCGCAAAGCGTCTTTCACAAGCAAGCTCAAAGTAGCCACGCCCATACCCCGGTCAAGTACTTTCATCTTGGTGTCGACCGCAAGAGCAACATCAGGACCGTCGTAGCGGCCGAGGGCTTCCAGCATACCCGGGCACGCAAAGAGAACGCACACTTCCGAATCGCTGATGAGTGGCTGTTCCAATAGAAACATTGAATCTAATTGCTTGGGCGGGCTCTGGGGTAGCTTGTTGACTTCCAACTGAACAGCTTCGACGATGTGTAGGTCGCAATCCAAAGCCGGCTTTCTGCGTTTCCTCATGTTCTTCAGCCAGTTGGAGAGCTGCGTGTTGGTGGGCAAAGACGATTCAGCACAGCCACCAGCTAGCAGCGCAGCCCGTAAGTTTTTGCCAGTGCGCCCACCTTTATCAAAGAATTGCACTGCCAGAGTTTCCTGTTTTGCATTAAAGACTTTCCCAGTAGCAGCAAGACATGCCTCATGTCCAGAATGAGCACCACTGCATTGTAGAATGAGCGTGCCTGGCTGGTAGATAGCTGCAGCTAGTATATAGTGCGCGCGCCAGCGGCACGGGCACGCAGCACTCTCTAAGCACGTGTTGTTGGATGTGCACATGGGGCCCAGACAGGAGTTTTCAATGTCAAACGACATCCCCAAAACTTGTGCAGGAACGCAGTCACGTTGAAATCCTGACACAGATGCGACGGATGAGTTTGTGACCGTACGAAGAAAAGAAAATCATGGCCCTACCCGCATACAAAGGCGCAGCACGACTAGCCTCGGAGGCATCCGCCCAGCGCCCGGTCATGCCTTCACAAGTATAGCACATCAGGCCCGGAATGGACGCAACCAGTCGCTTCAAGGCTGAGGCTGCGGCTAGAAGACGTGGAGCCATTGGCAAAGAGAACGAGCCAAAACTTGCAGTTCAGCTCGGTTCAAAGAAGAAAAGGTGCAGGCCACCAAGCAAGACCAAGCAAAGAGCTCAAAAGCAAACCATCAAGACACTGCAGTTTGCAGCTGGCCTGAGTAAAAGGTGCAAGGCATCAAGCCTCAGCAGAGAAACACGCAGCCAAAGTGACAGGAGAAGCACTGAGGCTGCGGCCCTTTGCCGGGAGGAGCACATGCTCCCCCCTCCTCCTGGGCCGCGACAAGACAGCTCAACGGTTGAAGGGGCTGATTGATATCCCAGGAGGGGGCCCTTCCCTTCAACCTGCCATCTGCCGCGGGGGCTCCTGCGGTTGCCCTACCGATTTGTGTCACGGCTTCGCTGCCGCCGCATTCCAGCACGCTTTTATGTTTTGGTCGCTGCGCTGCGCTGGGGAAGCCCCGGCGCAAGGCAGACGCGACGCTAGATCCGACGTCCGACGTTGCCCGGTCTATAGAAGAAGGCCTACATCAACCATTCTTTGTGGGACGCTGGCAAACAGCGACATTGCGCGCGGCGTCTGCCAGCGCGTGGACGCGCCATGCTGCCCGCAAGCCCGTCAACCGCGCAAGCGATTGACGTTACGCGAGGCACTTACTGGACAACTGCAAGGTGTTCACGCCGCAAAAGAAAATCGACTTGTGAGATAGACTGCTTGCGGTTTCGGGACGGGGGCGCTGCACCCTGCCCCCCAAGCCCTCCACGCTGCCGAGGATGCAGTGACGGCGCTTGTCATTTTGGTTGAAACTGAAAGACGTGCGCGCTGCAGGATCATGTTGTGATGCTGCTTGCTGCTGAGCCCCCCCCGCCCGCGCGTGGACCGCGGCTTCCAGGAAGCCATGCCGCAAGCAAGTCATGCGCATGCATGGGCGCTTGTCATTGGTCAATGGCAGGCAAGCAGACGCGCTGGAAAACCGCAAGACGTGAATACTGAAGGCTTATGATGAGCTGCTGCTTGCTGCTGGAGCCTCCCTGCCGGCAGGCTATGAGACAGAAGATCGACTTGGGGCTGCTGCTTGCTGCTGGAGCCTCCCTACCGGCAGGCTATGAGACAGAAGATCGACTTGTTAGATGTGGTGAAACTGCTTGCGGTTTCGGGGGGGGGGCGCTGCGCCCTCCCCCCCGAGCCCCCCCTCCCGCTCTTTTTTTTC